TACATTTTGCTCTGCTAAACATAGAATGTCTGAATGTCTTTTATTTTTTTTGGTACAATGGATTTGTTATGGTCAGTTCAAGCTAGACCAGCTCAATTAATGTTTTATAAACACAGTTAGGAGAAAAACTGGTCTGGTAATTTGGAGCACTTCTTCAAACAATGCATTGTTTTAACGGTTATTTAACCCCAAGGCATAGTGTGTTTTGATGACACTCTAGTTATTCAAAAGGTGGCAATTATCAGTTTACAGTGTACATTAATTAGTGTACCTCATACATGATAAAAAAAAATAACTATTTAAATAATTCTTTGAAATCAAAGCTTATAAATAGAATTTTGAAAACGTATTTAAATAGATACAGAATTTTAATTTAAATATAAGGTTAACTTTTTTCATTCAATTTTATCCTTTGCAAAAAAATAATAATAAAAAAAAAATAAAAATAAAAATTACCTGAGCGGTAATTTTCATGTTCATTTTAATTTCTTGAAATAGGTACATGCATAATAATGCTTTGTGATGCTACATGTATGTAATGCCGGTGTAAAGACGAATAATGACCACCATCAAATAATGACCGGGGGTCATTTTTCGACAGCGAAAAATGACCCCCGGTCATTATTCGACGTAGAAAAATGACCCTTCTGCCCGTAGAAAAAGTGTCACCACCCTAAAAATTTGCAGAACCCACGTGAAGAAAAGTGACCCCCGTAGAAAAATGACTCCCTCTTGATTAAAGCTGAAATTTTTAGGGGGCAAAACAAAATTAGATAAAGAAGCATATTGGCCAAAATGCTCACCTAAGCTTATTTGGAATAAATTGATGATATGTTGATCTCATAACATACGATTATAGCTATATTTTAAGGTCAGACGACACGTTCCTCGAAAATATATTTTGTATCTCATGGTCATGTTGGTATTATATAAAAAATAATTCATATTTGTCTCCTCTGATTTCTACATTGTTTTCAAAATGTTTTTAAATAATAGAAGTACACCAAAAATTGTGATATAGGCCATTCAGAAGATTACCTATAAGGGTTATATAAGAAATGACCCTAGGGTATTTTGTCCAAATGCCTGGTAAGGTACCTTAAGTTTTTGTGAGGAAACGTACTTCAATGACAAATTCTTAGGAAAAATTATATATTTTTTTTGACCTTAAGGTCAATGCAATGATTCAGAATCTAAAGGAGTAAAGATTTATCGAGCCTCAATGGTTAGGTAAACATTGTTTTTCAATGGTGGAAATCATCGTACTGACAGAAAAAATCAGCAGTATAATATATTATTATATCCTCCGTTTGAAAAGCGGGAGGGTATATAGTGATTGGGATGTCCGTCCGCCTGTTACGCTTTGAGGTATCCATTTGTTATCCGCAACTCTTCTATTATATATAAAGATGTACATGTATTTGTAAAACAGCTATGCCCCTGTATGGCAACATAGCGAAGATTAAACTTTTCTTAAAGGCAATTTAAAAATAATGGTACCCAAAGTAGGGTCTTCTCACAAGAAATACAATTGCAAAATAGGAAAGCCCTAGCACCACTTGTTCAAAATTAATTGCTAAGGATAAGTGTTTGAAAGGTAGGTCAAACTCAAAGGTCAAAGGGTCAAAGTTGATGGTTTCTTAAGATAGGTTTAATGCAACAAGGATTACATTTGTGAAGTATGAGAGTACTAGTATCTACCGTTTAAAAGTTATAGCCAGAGTAAATTAAAAATTTGGCATTTTTGTGTAAAATGGGACAAACTCCAAGGTAAAGGTCAAATTTGGTGGTACCCAAAGTAAGGTCTTGTCACAAGGAATGTACACATATTGAATATGAAAGGCATAGCTACAATAAATGAAAAGTTATGGTAAAGGTTAAAATTTTTGCGGAGAAACAGACCGCCAGATAGACAGACAGACATACAGACGGACACAATAAAACTATATACCCCGATCTTCGATTACAGGGACATAAAAAGAAATGGTCTTCAATTAAATTTTCATATTATGACACAGTATAAAGAAGGCGTTACAAAAATGAAAATGTTTGTTCTGATTTTCATATTAAATTCTCTGAAAAATATACTCAGAACTGGGTAAAATCGTGGAGTAAAACAAGAATTAAGAAATGTAATGAATACTGTGTGCTAAATCAAAAGGTTATGTCAACATGTATAGTTTTTGCATTAGAATGTGTATTTTACACTAGCCTATAGCTTTTCAGAGCATATTCTCAAGTGTTTTACCCACCCCACTCCCTTACTTATTTAGGAGGAAGTCGATTATCAACGAAAGCAACAACAAAAAACTACCCTACCTTTATTTTTCTATAAGGAGGGACTAAAAATAAGCTTAAAATAATCTACTATTCTACTAATTTTCAACTGTTACTTTGCCACAATACTTTCAAGGATACCCTCGCCTACATTTAAAGTATACTTTAATCATGGCGAAGTAAATTATGATATGATAGAACTTGTGTGAAGGCTTAACTTCATTTCAATATTTTATCTAGAGCCTCTTTCAGTATTATTGAAAGGTATGGAGTTTTATTTATATTTTTTGCTTTTCATTTATTTATTTTTTGTTTTGATTTAACATAATTTATTTTTTTTGGGGGGGGGATGGGTAAAAATTTCCTCCTCTTTCATTGTCAAATAGGATTTGCCAAACTTATACAAGCTAAAAGTTGAAATGAAGGAAAAATTAATTTTTCTAGTTAGTGTTATTGGAACCTGATTTTTGCATGGTTTGATTTCTAAAAACAAGTGGAATATCATTCTTTAAGCAAACACTATTGGGAGGAATATTAAAAAGAAATTTTATTTACTTGACAATCAAAGAATCTCTTTTCACTTTAAAGGGGGTCATTTTTCAATGGGGGTCAATTTTTTTATAGGACTAACATATAAAATATTGACCCCTAGGACACTTTTTCTACAAAAAATGATCTTTTTCTACGGGTAGGGGGTCATTTTTTGTCGTTGAAAAATGACCCCCGGTCATTATTCGATGGGGGTCATTATTCGTCTTTACACCGGCATTACAATGGATTTTATGAAGTAATGCATTACATTACCATTACATGTAATGCAGTTTTGGGTATTACACATTACTAGCATTACTTGGAGTTCATGTAATGCATTGCAATGAATTACCATTACAATTAGCATTACCCCAAGTCTTCTTGATTCAATCAGATATTCAGATATTTCGCGTTGTGTAGAATAATCATAATGAGGTATAATGGTCTTTGCCCTCTCCGTCCGTTGTCTTTCTATCTGACTGTTTAGCAGTCTGTCTGCAAAAGTTTCACCTTGTCAATAACTTTTGATTGGTTGGATTTAAGGGTTTCATATTTTCTATGTGTATTCCTTGTGTCAAGACCTTTCTTATGGTGTCAACGACATGACATTATTGGTTTGCAAAAATTATCAAATATTAGCCATGACAAGAAATTTTGAAAAATTGTTTCTGGGTCTTTCATACTATAATTATAAGCATTTCTAAATAGACCTTTTAATGAATGTAAATGCTTTTGATCTTCTTGACCTTGGCCTTAAAGTTTTACCCACTAACTTTGCCGTATCTTTTAAACGGTAAAGACTATAGGGCTTTCATATTTCACAGATGTATGCCTTGTAACATTTGGATATTAATATATCAAATTAAACATGAACTTTTAATATTTTGTCTAACATCTGAAAAAAAAACCTCAAAGTTCTAAGGCTAACTATGGCGTAATTTTGCAAAGTTCAGTAAACCAAAGTCTATTTCTTTCATAACTTTATATAAAGATAGGGATTTTCTGTAAATCACATTAAAAAGCTGACAACACTGGCTGCAGTGAAGTCATGGACACCCAAGGACTGGAGTACATCAATGAAAACGGTGAGGTGAGAGATTTGCAGACCTATGCTCCCTTAACCAGCTGGTAATAAGAGGAAGCATCTTTCCTCATAAAAGAATTCACAAGGCCACATGGAGATCCTCTGACCATGTTACAGGGAACCAGATTGACCATATCTGCATCATCAAGAAATTTTGAAGAACATGGAAAGATGTCAGGGTGATGAGATGAGCAGACATTTCATCAGACCACAATCTGCTAATGACGGCATTAAGACTGCGCCTCAAGAAGTTCAAAAACATTACCAACAGGAGGACAAGGTACAACGTGAGTGCCCTCAAAACAAAGGAAGGGAAGATGGCATCCCATCCCAGCTTGTCAAATAGATTCCAGCTACTAAAAGACAAGCTAGAAATTAAACAATGTTACCAACATCGAGACTCAATGGCAGTATATCAATGAAATGTGGCAAGGCACATGCGAGGAAGTCCTAGGCAGAAGAAAGACTCAGCACAAGGAGTGGATCTGTGGTGATACCATGAATAAACTGGATGAGAAGAAGGAAAAGAAAGCGATGCTGAATACAAGCAGGACAAGATCAACAAAGGCAAAAGCTCACGAGGACTACACAGCCACAGATAAGGAAGTTACGAAAAGCATCAGGAAAGATAAATGGGATAACATCAACAACCTGTCCAAACAAGCTGGAGAAGCAGCAGGACTAGGAAACTTGAAAGAACTATATATGATTACAAAGAAGTTCTCCAACAAGTTCCAGCAAACAGACAAGCCAGTGAAGGAAAAAAACGGGAAAACTCTTACAACAACAGAAGAGCAATTGAAGAGATGGGTAGAACACTTCGGGAAGCTATTAAAAAGTCCAACACCAGTAACACCTCCGGACATACAACCGGCCAATACAGACCTCTCGATCAACTTCGACAAGCCAACAAGGACAGAGAGCAATTAATAAACAATTTAATAATTAAAAATGGAAAAGCGGGAGGGCCTGATGAGATACCAGCAGAAGCCATCAAAGCTGATGCAGAGACAGCCATTAATATCCTATACAACTCTTCAACAAGATCTGGGAAGAAAAGAACATTCCGAAGGAATGGAAAGAAGACATCCTTATTAAGCTGCCAAAGATGCGAGATTTGAGGGAATGCAGTAATTACAGGGGAATCATGCTCCTGTCAGTGCCTGACTATGTCCTCAACAGGATACTTCTCGAGAGAATGAAAGAAGCAGTGGAGCCAAAGCTCCATGACCAACAGGCTGGTTTTAGAGCCAGCAGATTATGTGCTGACCAGGTAGCCAGTCTGTGCATCATTATAGAACAATCACTGGAGTGGAAGTCCTCCCTATATGTCAACTTCATCTACTATGAGAAAGCAATCGACAGCGTGGACCGAGAGACATTGTGGAAGATACTGAGGCACTGTGGAGTACCAGAGAAGCTAGTCCCCCTGATTCGAAACACCAATCAAGGCATGATATGCAGGGTTGCCCATGCTGGGCAGATGTCTGGGAGTTTCGAGGTCAAGACACTAATGACGGAACTGAAAGATCTTGATTTTCCGATGACCTGGCTCTCCTTTCACACAACCAATGTCAGAAGCAGGATAAAACTCACCTTGCAACAACATCAGCAGGAACGGGCCTCAAAATCAACTTGAAGAAAACAGAATTGATGAAGATAAACATCACTGTCCAAACCCATTAAAGAAGTTGAGTCCTTCGTCTACCTGGGAAGTGTGGTGGACAGACAGGGTGGCACAGACCGTGACATCAAGTCAATGGCAATGCAAGAACTACTTTTATCATGTTAAAGAACATCTGGGCCTCAAAGAACATCCGTATTACCACCAAACTGCGGATCCTCAACTCTAATGTAAAGTCCGTCCTATTGTGTGGTGCAGAGACGTGGAGGATGACTAAAGCTACCCTGCAGAAGATCCAGACATTTTACAACACCTGCCTTAAGCGCATCTTCAACATCTGGTGGTCTGAAAGGATCTCCAAAGAAGAACTATGGAAGAGTGCAGGACAGTAAGACAGAGGAAGTGGGGCTGGATACACATAAAGGAAGTCACCATCTAGCATCACACATCAGGCCCTGACATGGAACCCACAGGGCAAAAGGAAAGAGTGGACGTCCTAAAAACACCTGGAGGTGTGACTCGGAGACAGAGTTAAAGACACAGAAAAGGACCTGGCAGGATGAAGCTAAAGCAGCTCAGAATCGAGGTCGTTGGAGGACTGTCGTCGATAGCCTATATTCCTCACGAAACGATAAGTACATGTTAGTAAAGTACATTAAATCAATTGCGTTTCATATATATGACAGGCCAGTTATTGATTTTCAATGAAATATATAGAACTTGACATGGAGGTCCTCTATGGCTTTCCATAATATTTAGACAATGAATAAAACGCAATAATGAAAATGCAGGATAGACTAGCGAATACATGAACCGTATATGTTCCAGATGTATAATTATTTACTTAAACCATCGTAACAATTAAATGAACAACTCATGACTCGTAAAGAAACATGGCAACAGATATTTCAAATGAACAAATATTAAATGTCTAGATTAACTGTTGCTCGAGGAGAATTAAGATAAAGAAAATTAAATATAAACGTTAAATAAAAAGTGGAGAAAAGTTATAATTAAGATGTTACGAAATTTCGAAAAATAATTGAAATCTTGAAATCCATCGAAATTCAATCTAAAACTTTTAAAAATATTTGAAAAATAGATTGTACACGATCACGGGGTCGAAACTCATAGTGTTATTAGAAAGGTCTAATGTCACAGGTAATGGTAATACACATGTTGTGTGAAAACCCTATCTCTTCTCATTCAAAAGTTATAGCCAATTTAATGTTAGGTTTAAATTTTTAAAGTATGTCAAACTTCAAGGTCGAGATCACAGGGTCAAAAATCATAACTGTATTTAGAAAGGTTTTGTCACAAGTAATATACAAGTTTAATATTAAAACCATATCTCATCTCATTCAAAAGAAATGACCAAGGTTAAAGTTTTTTTGTGACGGACGGACAGAACTACAGACTGACAGACGAATGAGACTTAAGGATAAATAAAATAACACAAAGTTTTCTTTTTTTTCAGAAATCAATTTTTCTCATAGATTTACATTTAGATTGGTAATCTTAACAATTTTTACCAAGTATAGTGGCAGAATTTTGTAAGATTTTGTCATAAGGTTAAAAAGTGGTGCAAAATTTAAATTTGTATGGAATTATATAGACAGCAAAACAAAGTCTCATATCTAAGCACCAAGGAAAACCTACGATTTCTTTATATTTCACGGAGTTATTATTTATGTCATTTCAAATCAAAATCAGTCAAAAAAAATATATATCAATCCATGCATCAAATTTTTGTTTGTGTTAAGTACCCTTAGGAAAATAAAATCTAAATATGAATTAAAGTATAAATTATATAAGCACGGTTACTTAAAATGTATTTGGCACATAAAATAAATCTAGACCATAGAGCAAATCATGCATTGTTTACAAAATCAACATGGGTTCTAAAACCAAATTTAATGCGACACAAAAACGTTTATTCTTCATGTTTAACCTTAGGTCAAGTGAGGTCATTTGGTTGGTCCTTTAATATTATCTCTGTTTGTATTAGATACCTTGTGGTTAAATCTCTACAGCTTTCTCTAATGAAAGTGATCTTTAATATCATGTTCACGAAATGTTCTTCGTATGTCCAAGATAGAGTTTTCTGATTTTGTCCAAGATAGGTCTTCATCAAACCACTTCAGTTATCGTTTACACACTTTCCTCTGGTCAGGGTGACGTAATAGCTGAGCACTTCATGGTCGGGGAATTAAATACATCTCGCATCGTTTCATCGTTTCAAAGAAGGTAAAAGAAAAAAAAATCAACGCGAATTCCACATCAATCAATACCTTGTAAGGGTACATTTTTAATGCTACAAATCACACGCTGTACTCGACCTATAACCCTTAAAGGCCCCAATCTACCCACAGATCTGTGTTTACTAGGTCAAACTAGCCATGTGGGTTCTTCAATCCATAACAAAGAGGGTGCGATCCATCCGTTTGTACGTGATACATCCACTCTGGGTATTCTGAAAGTCAGGAAACGGCCCTGAGAATCGAGGGCGACATTGCGAAATCTATATTTATGGAAACTGGTCATTCAACTTTTTTTGCGAGCGATTGACTCAATAGGAAAGGGAATGTTGAGGGATTAACTTAAAAGACATACAGTGGGTATTAAAGTTTTTCTTTATGTGTGTTATCAACTAGCACATTTTAATAGGTTAAGATATGTTTGTTGAAATTTGTATTCATCATTATACTATTGATTTTTTAATGTCTTATGTTAAAAATATTTGAACAAAGAAATCCAGACATTTGAAAATATGAATGTTTACCACGTGTTAACTGAATATTTGTTTTAAAGAAAGAAAAAGGTATCCTTGAATGTTTTAGTTTGAATTATAAGCATGTTGAGGTTTGTACAAGGTGATCATCTTAAGTAAATTAGGATTTTGATTGCGTCATTCTATGGAATGGCAGAGATTGACCAATGGAAATATAACATTTCAAATTCGATCCGACAGCTCGGCGTAAATACTCAGCCTCTTCTCGCACTTACAGCCCTGCATGTATGTATAAAGAGTAAAGAAATGGTTTTCTATCTTACCATAAATGGTTACAACTATCAATTTCTATAGAAAATGGTTACAACTATCATTTTCTATAGAAAAAAAACCCGAACCTTTGATTACGGGGGCATAAAAAACATGTAAACTTCAGTATACAAATTCATATATATGTTTAGTAATTGTTATACATATATACATTCCTCACGTACTAAATATGAACTAGAGTTTTAGTATTAGAGTGTTAGGCTATAAAAATTAATTGAACCTCCAGAATCTCTTATAAATTTTTGTACAGATTGAGAAAATATTTCATTGATTTCCTCACAGAAGTAGTTCATGCAGTTGACAATCAATAATATTCAGCTCGAAATTTAGTTTAGTAAGACATAAACGGTTTCTTGACCAGAGGGCTTAAGGTCACTCTAATCTGACTTATAACAAAAACTACCTCATTTTTTTTGTAAGTCAAATTAATGCGATCTAAAAAGCCTGTGATCTTAAGGGATTCCGTTTTTTTAAACTATGTGAAGAATTGGTTAACAAGTATTCGGTAAGATTATTCATTATTATCCTCATCGGATAAAACTTGTGTAGTTAATCTAGGCCAGTTAATTGTGCGTCGTTTTCACACTTTTTGGATCCATGGTAGAAAATACTAGCTGGTCGTGATGAACACATTCCGCGTTCTACAAGTGTGTAGGTGGGTGAAAAGTCCTTGTTTACATCTAAGTATATGATAAGAGTGGCTGCGATTGGGTAGAAAAATGTACGTAGACCTTCTTAGTGCAGATCCAATATTAATTGAATATACAATTGCCGGTATAACAACACATCAATTTTATCAAGACGAGAACAAAAATTACATTTAATAATATAATTTATGATTACCTAGTCAAATTGAATGTTCAAAACATTTAAAGGGTAAATGAAAAAAAATTTGTATTTTCATTTTTATACCAAGGGGTATTTTCTATGCCTTTTATGACTTGGAGAATTTATACATTGCATGCGCAATTCTGACAACATTAAATTCATGTAACAATTATGGCATCATTTTCTTGACTTTCTTTTTTTTTTTTTTTTGGTTACAGATTGATGTTATGACGTCGATAAGAACTTTCCTCACTGATATCTTGATATCTGTGGGGGATATCAGTATTGGAACCAATTTTACTTATGTAGCTTTTCTGTAAGTATAGTATAACATATTAGATATATTCCTTTATTTTTTTTTTATTTCAATTTTATAAACATTATATTTAACATCATATCACATCATTTCATACAATAACTATGTACCTTTGAATTTTTAATCAGGAAAGAATATTCATTTTTGTCACACAAACTGTTTAATACTTGTCAACAGCCTGTTTTGTTCTCCATTGAGCCTGACTTCTTTTGCAATTTAAAACATAGGTAATCAAAGATTACGAAGCTCACCTCGACGAATGTTGTCAGTTTAAGTAATGCAAAGATGTAAGTCTCACATCATAATTTTTTTCTTAACAGTTTGTACTTATTCTGACAACAATATTCAAACAAGTTCTGTTTAAACTGGTCTTAAAGTTCTTTGGGGATTAACCTGTTCCAAAAAGGTTAACCTTGTCCCTTGTCTGGAAAATGTAGGTCAGATCAAGCATCCAAAGCAAGTTTAGATTGTCCATCCTTAGATGCATCATCCATGCAAGTTTGGTCCAGTTGGGGTTTATAGTTTATTGGGAATAACCTGGTCACTAATCTGGAAAATAGGTCAGATCCAGCATCCGAAGTAAGTCTGGTAGTGTCCATCCCTAGATGCATTATCCATGCAATTTTGGTCCAGGTAGGGCTTACAGTTACTTGGGAATGAACCTGCTCCTAAAACTTTAACCGAGACACCGACTCTAACGCCGTCGAGGTGAGCTAAAAACGGAACAAGTTCTTCGCCCGACCGCTAATAATACAAAGTTATATAGTCAAGATAAGATTTCAGTACAAGAGTACTTAATTCTGACTGGATAAAATGTAGGTCAGATCCAGCATCCGAAGCAAGTCTGCTAGTGTCCATCTCTAGATGCATCATCCATGCAAGTTTGGTCTTGGTAGAGCATATAGTTACTTGGGAATGGACCTGCTCCAAAAACGTTAACCTGGTTACTCATCTGGAAAATGTAGGTCAGATCCAGCATCCGAAGCAAGTTTGGTAGTGTCCATCCCTAGATGCATCATCCATGCAAGTTTGGTCTGGGTAAGGCTTATAGTTACTTGGGAAAGGACCTACTCCAAAAATTTTAACCTAGTCACTCATCTGAAAATTGTAGGTCAGATCCTGCATCTGAAGCAAGTCTGGTAATGTCCAACCCTAGATGCATCATCCATAGAAGTTTAGTCCAGATAGGGCCTATAGTTACTTGGGAATGGACCTGCTCCAAAAACTTTAACCTGGTCACTCATCTGGAAATTGTAGGTCAGATCCAGCATCCGAACAAAGTCTGGTAGTGTCCATCCCTAGATGCATCATCCATGCAAGTTTAGTCCGGGTAGGGCCTATAGTTACTTGGGAATGGACCTGCTCCCAAAACTTTAACCTAGTCACTCATCTGGAAAGTGTAGGTCAGATGCAGCATCCGAAGCAAGTCTGGTAATGTCCATCCGTAGATGCATCATTCGTGCAAGTTTGGTCTGGGTAGGGCATATAGTTACTTGGGAATGGACCTGCTCCTAAAACATTAACCGAGACACCGACTCTAATGCCGTCGAGGTGAGCTAAAAACGGAACAAGTTCTTCGCCCGACCGCTAATAATACAAAGTTCTATAGTCAAGATAAGATTTCAGTACAAGAGTACTTAATTCTGACTGGATAAAGCTAAATAGATTAAACACTAGCCGTTGCATACATAGTGTCCCTGTCATGCCAGATTACAAATTCCCTTGATGACGTATGATTATCTACACTGTACCAGATGCCAACGATAATGAGTATATAATAATTATTTTTAAACAATTATAATATGTCAGTACCACATTTGCTGCAAAAATGTTTTTATTTATTTATTTTTAGTTATATATGTTTTACAATTCTATATTCACATTTTCCCTATTTTTAAATATATTTCATATACATAAAAAATGAATTTTAAGTATTAAGCAGTTCGATTTTATCTCTTTATTTGAGACACATGATTTAATTGTTTTTTACTGAGTCATCTCGATAATTGTGAATTTCGATTCCCCGAATAAGAGGCCTGTTCAACAGAACAAGCGCCCGAGAACATTTGTATTGAAGGTATATTATGGAATTTGGCGAGCGCTTGCAAAGTATTTATCATAGTTTTTGTTTTATTTATTGTGGGTTTCATTATTATTTTTTTTTTAGATTTATTTGTCACTTACATGGTGAAATATAATAATTGCTTATCAGCTTTGGGAAAATTTAAATTTCTTCATGTATTAGCTACGAGTTTTAATATAGATACTAAAAATTGATTTTGGATTTATGCAAAAATAAGGATAGCTTGATTAGAAAACTGTGATATCTGATTTAGCAATAACTAAACCTTTCAGACTCTTTTACAATTTTAAATAACATAAATCTCGAGTATCGTATGTTAAATGAATGCTTTTATGGTTTAAATGTTAAACACATTTTTAAAATTTATTATTATCTTAATGGGTAAAAATAAATTGCAAACAAAAGCTTATTATAGTGTCATTCAATGATCAATATATACAACAAATTTTCGGTTAGAGTTTAAACCGCCTTTAGAAAATATTTTGAATAAATAAACACAATCCGCTGTGTTTGCAGAATGGTTTAAGCGATTTGTCAGTAAATAAACGAAGCAAAGTTAAAACTAAAAAGTTTCATGAGTATATAGTACCCGTTCTAAAAATATTCTAATATAATTAATTAGGGTTCAAACCAAATAATTTTAGATTTTCTTTTGCTACTGTGAATAAGGTACATGTCATTGTATATATAGTTTTACCAAAGTTAAAAACAGAAGATATCATTCATTGTCTTTTTACATTGTCTATTTTTTGTCACCAGCCTAGGTGAAAACTTAATGTTACAGTTATTAGAGCTCTATAAATATTAACCAAGACTCTGAGTACAGCAAAGTCTAAGCTACAGAAGAAAAATTTACTCGAGACACTATTTTAAAACTTTCTAACTCAGATTAAATACTAGTAATTCTTACATGTACCGGTACATGTAACAAGATTATTAACAAATACTGAAAAAATTATCCTAGTAATCCCAAGTAATTTAGATAGTTAATAATGAATCATACGGAGATAACGAACGATACATGTATTCAAGATCAAAAGTCAATAAAACAAATCAAAATAGGAGCAGAGCAAACACGGACCTCCAAAACATCAGAAGTATGATCAGCTGCCATGGAGAAGTTAGCATCCCCTGCCGACTGCACCCACTATATGCTCCTTACTATGATCGGGAAATAACGGAAAAATTCGTCGTCAATTCAGTGTATAAATAATGGACTAACAAAAAGTATGAAAAAAGCCAGTCAAAATTTGAAACAATAATAAATTCATTTGTATTTGCTGACAAGGTCATTGTATCAAGGGAATTTGTTATCTGACATGGCAGGAGCACTATGTATGCAATGGACAGTAATCCTATAAAAATAAAGAAATCATGATTGAAATATTCGTTGACGAAGCACTTAGTAAAGAACTACCCCTCAAAAATCACGAAAATGCCTAGACTTGGAGAAAATTTCAGTTATCATAAAATACATAATAGTTAGAAACTGAAAACATTGACTTCAGAATGCCCCGTGTTACTGGGGACTGGTTTCTCTTGACAATATTATTAATTTGAAAAACAAAAACAACAATGTTAATTTTAATATTTTTGTTTTCATTTAGAGAAGATTGTCCTACAGTTATACCACATCAAGAATTCAGGCTCTCCTTGCTCCTCCCGGCGGTAAACCTTATTTTGTTCATTTAGCAGATTTTGTTTTCGCTTTTCATATTCCTAATCTATGTGTCATGTTCTAAATTTTGAATTTACTGTGTGGGAGTAAATACAAAATTTAGAAATTCAAAAATTTAGAACATGACATATGTGTGACTATAATAACGAATTGAACAATATTATTACAAATACTAGTAAACAATAACGAAATTCAATGTACGAGACACTAGCTCTTTTTCTGTTTAAACATGCATACATTACATGAACATGCATCATAAGTTAAAATGCAAACACAAAAAGAAACAAAGTTAATATTATGTATAATGTTGATATGTAAAATAGCTTTGTTAAGATGAAAATAGAATTTAAAAAGATATATAATTCAATTTGTGCATATTGTGCAAAGGTGGACTTTTTATATGAAAAGTCAAGCGCTATAATTTAATCAAACGACCTAATTACCAGCCTGAGGGTTATCTAGTTTTGGTCGATTACATATTATGTAATGTTAAGACAAAGCTACTTTACATGTCCACGTAACCAAAATAACTTGCAGATAGGGAACAAAAATATGCCACCGTTGACGGGGCCATAAACCTTAGACAAGCTCACTTTCGTAAAGGAATAAACATTGGAAAAGTAAGACTGAGATCAAAAATGAACTCGTCGAAGTTTTATGGCCCCAGAGTCGCAGAATGCAACGGTAGAAAAGTTACTCTGATACCAAATATTTCTGAAATAAATATTATAATATCATTCGTTTGCTACATTGACTTAAAAGTTGATTTATTTATTGGTTTAGAAAACCGTTACAAACAAGTGTTTCTTTTGAAAGAACTCCTGCGATTTATTGTTTCCAAATACCTATAAAAGACATACTCGTGTAAAGTACAGTTGTAAGTTGCCCTGACTTCACTTTTTCTGCACTAAAATTCTTTTGAAACTTTATTTATTCATTAGATTAATCTTGAAACATTTACAAAGTTCAAACATAAGTGTCTAACAAAGTGAGCAATCTTAAACTTGGTATGAAAATAATACCGCCAAAGCAGCTGTTTTTATTTACACTTTACATTTCAGGCTATTTGCACATTGATTTTGTCATTTTTAACCCGACGAACGAAGCAAAAACTACATCTGTTAAATGGAAGACCGGGACTTATATTGTGAGTATACTTTGCATTGAAGAAAACAACATACTTTTGTGAAGCTTGAGAATCAGAAGAAATACAATTTAGATGTATATGTGTATTTACAGATATTTTACCCCAAAGTTCAAGGAATCTAAATAGCAAAGACAATTTAAAAAAATATCATACACTGTAAATTCCAAGAGCAATACAAAATGAAGAATAGTCCACAAAGACCATAAATTGAGAGGAAAATCAAGTCAACATTTATTATAATGCTAGGAAGCTGTGTAGTTCTCAACAAAGCCTTGAATAGTACAGTGCCGTGGGATTGACCTAGCACCCAATCCCCACGCTACCCATCCATCCCTCTGTCATTGCAATTACCCGATATTCTTTTAAAAATATGAAATATATTTCAAGCGAGGTTGATCAGATCAACGGAGCACAAATTAAACTAAAATTAGAATTCGTAAGAAAACAGTAACCTAAAACTGGTATGAAACTAGAGGTACTTTGAGCAATGAGCTCACTAAATGATACCCCCTCCTCCCATATGTATATGATGGCAGTGTCCATGTTTTGCTACCTTTTATAAACCCAAAATATGTGTCGGATCAAAAAGTAAAATAGGAGGTGCACAATGGCAATATGTAATAAAGATTCTCCGAAAGTTTCATCAAATTTCATTCAGTAGTATGAGAGGAGTTGCGGGTAAGAGATGGGTACCCCAAAGCGTAACAGACAGACGTACAGACAGACGGAAGGAAGGACAGCATATTGAGCTCACTGGCTATATTGAGTCCACATGATAATGGATAAAACATGGTAGAAATATCTTGTGTCATATCAAAGGCCACAGCAATACCTTAATTTCACCCAGAAATCTTGAATAAAGTCAGCTAATAAGATTTTAGAATAGGTTGGCCAATTTAAGGAGAGACTTGTTTCCAGAATCAATTAGAAACAAAATATTTTAAACATCGTGGTTTCTTTTACAAATTGCACTGAATTGAAGAAAAAATAAAAACACGATAAAAGATCTGCAATCTCTAAAAAAAGTTGAAGTAACTTAAGTTGCCTTAAACAAGATTTTAAGAAAAATATTTTTTTATATATCTACTTTCAATAAATTACACTGTGGTTTTCAATTTCTCGTAGTTTCTTCAGAAATTGTAAAAACCGTTGAAAAATTATACACACCAAATTCACATCAAATCATAATATTTAATTAATTAATTTCAATAAAATCAATTTGTTTGAATAAATGTTTTTTTTCTCTGACATCCTTTCAACAATATTAAAACATAATTGTGTGATTGAACACTATTCCACTAATTAAAAAGACCAACGTCGTTTTTCTCTCGAGTTTAAAAACATGTTTCTTAATATGATTTTTCTCAATATTCTCACTGTCTGTTTAGCAAGAGGCATTAAAAATTTGTCCTATAAAACCTTTTATTATAGGAATATGGAAAAAAAGTGTTTCCGAATTTTAGATTTAAATTTGAAGGTTGACTTACATTTTGGTAATTGGGTCTTGATTAATTGTTGATAATGCATTCGGAAAAATGCATACCTGTACAATTTAAAAAAGAAATGCCTTTGGACTAAGAAATTTAACTTTGACAGGTGATTTAGACTTAAACACCGCTTATTAGATATTGTCTAAGAAAATGATGGAAATATTTCTTTTCAGCCCAATGGACATTCTCAAGCGGTCTCATAGATTTTCCTATGCTGCAGCATTTGGAACCCTCGCCCGTCTCTGCTCCGATATAGTGTTTGAAGCTAAATATGCATTCAACTATGACGGTCCCACATACTTTAAAGGTGTGTTGGTTAATGAATTAATATTCTCTATGATATCTTTATAAAACTTTATTCTTAAATTTTTGTTCACAGTTTTCTTCACAGTTTTTCAGTCTCGTATATATCAAAAAGACAACTTCGGATTCGGTATTCCGTATTGACAATTATTCTATCAAGATTTGTGTAATATTCCATTTTTTAAGAAATTACTCGAACAAAGTTGATTTGACACATTTTAAAGAACACATGCGAAAAAATTATGAAGTCTAAGAAACCAAGTCTTTTTTAAGTATTACATGAAGCCAAATGAAAATTCATCATATTGCAAAAAAAAAAAGGATTTTATTTCACTTTTCAATTTTTTATGTAAGGACAAGTTACGGAGCATTGTATCAAAATTAGGTCTCAAGACCATAAAAGGAGGATAGAAGTCAAAATTGTGAAATTGACAATCTTGATTTAATCACACGTGTGTTCAAACATGTAAAGTTTTGTGCGTTATTCAAATACAAAAACACAATAAAAATTTGTTAAGTTATCAAAAGTTATACTGATTTGAAAACTAGATTGAAGTCTACAGTTTTTGGTTTTGAAGCCACATGAACAAGATTAGGGTAGTGGGGAAACAAATTCAAAAACCTATTTACCTCACCTTTTTAATAGAAAAATATTAGAAGGCCAAATTTGAATTTCTAAATGACGCTAGTTCTAGATACACTTATCATTTTTGAAATTTTAAGTCATGTTAATCAAATAATGCACGATCTTAGCATATTCCTATGATTTTTATAGATTTTAAATTAATGTATCGTGTAGAAAATTTTTTTGTTGCTTTCAGTGTTCATTGCACTTGCATCGATGTTCATATACGGCCTTGGTTACTATCCGTTGTTTGCTGGAATCACCACAGAGAGTCCTATAGGTTATCTTATTGCTACTCTGTTTGCCTGGGCCTTCACAGCGAATTTCTTCGCCAACTCCTTCTGTGAACAAAATATGAACGTATGTATTTTATATTTGATTATTCATCTAAAATTTAAAAATAATTATGACACTATTATATCAGTCTTTTCGCATAAAACCTTTTTCATGCATTATGGTACCTAATTAAATGATCATGTTGAAAGAGTTCTTTCTTACCTAATGCTATATTATTACTAATTTGTTTCAGGTTTCCTATTTGATTTTAATTGTCAAGTTGTTACCGGAAATCGTCTGCTACCTCTATCTTACCTTCAGTCTTCCGGCTAGATTTATCCTTTCTATTGTTAAACCAAGGAAAAAGAACAAATTTGCTGTTGACTTTGAAAGCAGCGATGATCTGTATGAATCAATCAGAAAATCATACCAGGGCAATCATGTTAGAAAGTTGTTCACAAAACCAGAATCCCCACCACCGTGAGTTCATATATATTTCTATATATTTAATTTTTTTAAGTACTTACCATAATCATTCAGTAAAAACGTTAAAGATTTTTACGAAAGATCATTTTTTTGCATAATTTTTAGGGGAAAGAATATGGCAAGTAGAAAATATATGTAAACAAGTAGACAAAGATGTCCCCAATTAACATTTTCCAATTCAGAGTTTTATTTAGAAATTGTATTTGTATGACGAGTTTAAGACAACTTTTTCCTCCTCCTCCTCCTAAACAAAATTTTCTCTCTACTTTTATTTTCGAATGCAGACCACCCGAAGGAAAAAAGGACAAAATAATTTTTCTTCTGAAATCTCTGTCTCAGAAAATATTCTACAGACGTAAAAAAGGTATATTTACTCTTCACTGTAATTAAGGACTTTTACAAACATATTTTATACTTTAACCAATGAAGATTGAAACAAACTGCAAACAGATACGGATATTAATAAGATCTAAAGGTAAGTCGACTTGAAAAGTAAAAAAAAAAATGTGGAAAGGATATAATTAACGTAACAGATGAATGCTGGATCCCCCTTTTTTGCAGTCTGATTTTGTATCTTCAAATTTTAGAATATGTTTCATTTGTAATATGAAAAACATGGTTTTCAACAGTCCCCCGCAATATGCAGAGGAATTTTATTTTCAAATAAAAAAAGGAAAAGAAAAAGAAATTTGATTTTGCATTAAAAAATGCTTTGATAATTTTATGCATATACGTTAGCCCCAAAATAGAAAACAAGCTCTCTTTGTGTGTGTCATCTATATCATTTTTTAATGTTAAATTTTTAGGATTTCGATACTCAGCTAGAATGGTTACAGTTGTCGCCGTAGGATTTGTCTTACTCTACACAGTAAGTCTAGAATTATCCACTCACCTCCTTTCTCTTTCTTTTCTTCAACGTTTGCCAAAGCTTCAAAGCATATTAAAAGTCAGTCAGTTTTTGATTCATCAATACGTGTAATTCCTTCCATTTATAGTATAGCTATTTTATTTTGGAAGCCTATTAATATTCTCCTTTTAAATTTTTTGAAAAAAGGTTTTTCTAGATTTATTTCTGGGTCTCTACCAAGTCTTCGAATATTTGGAAGATGGAATAATCGCTCAGTTTGATGTGATAGGATATGATGAGCAGCCAGGGGAATCACCTGCTATAACAGCGATTCGAGAAGGACTATACTTTGGTTATTATTTCGTAATATCTTTTGGAGGTGAGTATTATCTTACTTGAATTCACGTTTGCACATTTCCTCGCTGAACAAATGTGATAATGGATTAACAAAGCAATAAGAAAGTTATTAGATAAAACGCATAACTTTTTTTTACTATTTATTAACTTGTGATAATGATTTTTTTTTTTAATTCTGTTTTAGGTTGCTTTCTGGCGTCTCTAACGGTTGCTTTTCTCATCAACGCAGTCTTTCTGTTTCATTATTTGACATCTTATCGGTATTTGACATATAATTTACTGATTAAATAGATATCTTTTATGATAAATTGCTTATAAAGAAGATTTTTCTGTGTAAAATCTCAGAAAAGATTTCGAATTAATTTCAAATTTCGAATTTAAAAACTAAAACTAAAATAAAATAGATTGAACTAATTTTATTGATTCGAAATGCAAAAACTTTGGATCTTAAATTTTCAAAGTATAATATGAATTTTGTAGGAGGTGTTTAATGAATTTGTACAAAGGAAAACCTAAACATCTTACACCTAGGAATGAAAAATCCAATGCGAGTCTTATGGTGTGTTTAATGCTTTTTCAACTCTTTTTATCAATCTCTCAGACACCGTATCTCATCTCTATTAGCGATATTGCTCCTTATTTTCATGGATACTGAATACACATAAACACAAAATCAGAGTGGGACAACATATGTGTGAATTTATTATTATATTGTCAATCTTCATCAAAGTATTGTTATTCAAATCTTTTAACATTAAAGCTGTACAATGGCCAATTAAACACAATATTAATGATTTTTACAAATATTTATCATGACTTTCTCTATTTCTATTTCTTTTGATTACTTTGCCCTTTTCCAGAACTTGCATTTCACTTTAGACCCACACTCTTACTGTGATGTGTAATTTCAGGTTGGGAGTGTACGATATGCTGGCTATCAGGTGGGATACATAGGATGGGGTACGTCCTTCTGGTATTATTTTAAAAAAATATGGTGTACAGAATAATAAAACAATTTTTGAAATTAGTTTTGACACTAAAATCCATATATATCATATGGACATTCCGTAACGGGTCAAAATATCAATTATTCCAACCTTCTCAAACCAAAGAAATAAAATCGAGTCTGAAAGACGCCGAACTATATTTTATCACAGTTTAATTATTTTTTCTTCATTTTTTCAGGGTTTTTCATCCAGTTTCTCGTGCTTTTGCTCGTATCAATATCGATAGCAACAGTAATTACTTTATGGGAATTTCTTAAGGACTTCATCATATCAACTATCATGAGACTTTGGTAAGCAGTTACCAATTTATTGTTCGAGAGATTTGCTCTGACTACAATATATTCGATTTGTCATAAAAAAGATAAAATATATTCTCTAAAATTGTTTTTTTTGGACAAGATTAAAGGAAAATGGAAATTTCAATAAAAAATTTTATGCTTTCAGTTGATAAATTGTCTTTCAGGCCTGTTTTACTGACGTCATTGGTTTTAAACTTCGCCCAGCTTTTATTATCCAAGTTTGTTTTTCTACAAGAAAATGGCAATATTTTAGCTATGGAAAATAGGTAAATTGAAGCAAATAATATGACAATTGTTAATGAAATACTGCTCGAAAGTGAAATAGTTTTCACATTTATAAATTTGGACTTTCCTTATATTTTGTAATACACAAGAATATGCATATAAACAAAACAACAATATTTAAATTTGATGAAAAGTTATTTAAAACTCCAGTTACAAGAAGGTAATTGAATGCTAATTACTTGGTATTTTAATGTTGTTATAAAGCAATACCAGTAATTCCTGATGTCCACTTTTTTTGCAAGAATACTAGTAAATGAGTTTTTAAAAACAAAAAGTACAAGTTCAAATCATGGATCATTTTATAACTGATGAGAGATGCTTACTTCTCCATGGCACCTGATGCCACATATAATGTTTAATAATATCGTGTTTACTCTGCATTTATTTTATATTGTTTAATGAACTTTTGAACTTGAAAACTGTTCACTATGACTATATATTTCGTGTTTTAAGACTTTGTAACCTTTGAAAATTTTATACAAACTGTGTGTATTTATATTTGCAGACGACTATTCTTCATTTTTACCTACTTCATGTTCTTCTACAACGTTTTCATTGGACTTATTTCCTGTCTGATGAGGATCATAAAGTCCATTATTCTAGGCGCCCTCTTCCTCCCACGCCTAGACCACAGCGTGCTGCCTAGAAAGTTTCAGCAATTTGACCCAGGTAAAAATCACAGTCCTTCTCATTATAAGGAAAATGTTTAATTTATTGTACATTATTCCACGTCCCATTTGCGAAATTTTGACAAATATAGAAACATCACATATAAGAGGGTGAATTAAGTCCTTTACTCGACACTCAGGGGTATTAAGCAGGTGGGATCTTTATCGTGCCAACACCTTGCCTGACCTGGGGTCTTGGTATTAAACGTCTCATCTGAAAGATCTGCAACTTTAACTTAGAGTGTCGAGCGTTTGGCAAAGGAACAGTTGTAACTCCTTTTATTGACTTTTGTCAATCGCAGCTGGAGAAATACTGCATAGAAGACATCGTGTTATATTATAATTGGGTAGCTTGCATATTCTTCTCTAATATTTTCTTTTTCAATTTCAAATTGTTATTATTTTGCAGGTTTTGATGCATACTGTGGTTTTATGCATATTGAGAGTACACACACAAATCCGGTTGCTATGGTTTTCATCAGTATTTTGCAAGCGGAATCGCTGACGGCTTTAAAAAGAAAGAAAATGAATGACATCGATGCCATACCTTTCGGTAAGTCCCACATGTTTAAAACCTGAACTAAGTATTAATGGTGACATGTGTAAAAGGTTTAACATACATGTTAATATTTGTCATACTTTAGCACACTTTGTACAAACAATTCATACTTATATGTTTACAAAAATTGCATACAGTTGCAATACAATATTTGTTTAATATTTTTACGTAAATCAAATTATTAGTGATTTTATATTTTATACCCCTAATTTTACAGCAGTGCGCATGTGTTTGCGATTTTCTCCAGTTCGCTCCTGAAAATATAGTTACATGTTTAAAATTAAACATTGTATTTCATTCCTTTATATCTTAATTGCAGTAAAAGGTGAGTGCAGTCTATGTATAAGATTTCATATATTCTGACGCCTCTAGTTTGGCTAGCTCTCTCCCAGCTTTGAACAACGCAGTAATTAGTTTATCTTGATCCTGTCGTGAATGTACAATAGTGTAATAGAATATATCATTTAGTTGCTAGAAAAACAGCAACATGTGTAATGACTGTTTGTTTGTATCGACACCACGTATCCATGTCAGGTCTTAATATATATAAATAAATAGAGATTTTTCTATAGAACAACAATAGTTGGTCTGAACTTCGTGTATGTTAAACCTATTATTTAGTGAAAGTATATATTAGTGACATTATAAATGTATGTTATATAGGTCATATAATCATAGTAGTAGCAAATATGTAGTGGATGATAGAATTACACCACCTGCAAGGTAATTCAAAGAACTATGCACACTAGTTCTCGATTCCCGCCTACATTTCACCCCCACCTTCAGTATGAATATATATTTTGACCATTTAAATGTTTTGAATGTAAAAAGGAAATCATAAGAAAATGATTTATAATTTGTAAAATAGCGTCAAAAAAGGAAATCGCTATGTTTTTTCATTAGCGTGGTAGAAAATTTATTCATTACAACCAGATTTTGAAACATCATCAACATTGCAAATATGCACATAGATGAATGATTGACATTTAAATCTTACCTTCTGTCAACATTATATAAAAATTCAAAGTAATACATTTATAATAAAATACATTTTTTTTAAATTTGCATTGTCATTCGAAATTGATTTATGAAATAATAATTTTTTACTGTTTTGTCTATAAACATATGTGGCCCTCCATTAAACAGAAAAATGCATTGTATGCTTTTTGAAATAACAATCCATATTACCTGTAAAAAGGACTTTTTTTCACAGGGGGTATCTAACATGATACCACAAATTTCACCAAAATCGTAATATTATCTCTCGTTTGCTTTTCCAAATATGAAGTGTTTTATGAAAAATTCTAAAAATAAGTAGATATATAGCTATATCTAATGAAACAAAATGTTAAACAAATCTGATGTATCAAAATCAATTATTAACTAATTCTTTTCATGTAATATATTGAATTAATTTCCCCTGTGTCTGTAAAAGAACTTTATTTTGCTTAAAAGATCAAAAATTTTTATTGATGTAACATTCTTGTTTATTATTATTTTTACAGACGAAAAACAGGAAATGATAGACAAAAAACGACGTAAGGCAAGGTGGAAGTGGTTACTTGCTTTCACTCTTGTAAACAATCCAGAACTCTCGCTACAACGAAGACTGGTCCTTGCAAAGGAGCGCAACGAAAATGTCAAGGAAATTCTCTTTTCCACGTATGCAATACCCGTTGATAGCGTTGATAGCGGAGGTATTGAAACTAAATTTTAAAAGAAAATAATGGGCTTGTTAATTTTTTCCCTTGTATACATGTATACATGTACGTACGTATCTCAAAAACAGAAATACATTGATCTGATGAACATTTATCTTGATACTTAGATATTCAATTGTGTCTCAGGTACTCTTTGAAAGTAGTAACAGGGTAAACTACGTACTTGTAGATTTCCTGCAATTTATTTATGAAAAATTCGATTCTGGCATTAAAAATATGCAATATGTATTACATGTTTCTTTAAACATTTATGTACGTATTTATAATCAGTATTGTACTTTTCATCGAAAAGAGCATTTGCAATCATTTTAGGATATCTGTTATTCTATTTTTATTCTGAAGAATGAAAATTTCATTCTACCGATTTTATAATGATTTTATTTCAAGTTTTTGTTTTTATTATTTTTTTGAATGCCACTTTACAACCAGTGAATTAAACAGTGATTTATACAATTTCCTGTGATATCCACGGAGTGTTTTATCTTGGTATGCTTTAATTTTTAACAAAAGGAATAAGATCTGATTTTTTTTAGAGCTTTCCATGTCAGAACAAACGTACCATTTTGATTTATTTTCACGTAATAAGTTTATATTTAACTGTAATAGAAAGTACCAAATTTATAAATTAAACTTTGTCACGATAATAGAAAAATCAACTATCGTTGCATATCAAATTATAGACAATTTATTTGAATGTTTTCACTTTTTTTATTTAAAGTATCTTAAGAACACCTTTTACAAAACCCTTAAGTAGATTTTCCCCCTTTTATTTGTATTTTATTTTACATTTATTTTCTTTTATTTGTATTTTATCATACATTTATTTGACCAATAAAAATTTCAAATTGTCTATTGTTCTGTCGTTTTTTATGTACATATACAATTAATACTTAAAGATATTTCATTTTTAATTACTACAGTTTAACAAATTATTTCTTAAAACACTTTTTCTGCGATAAAAATATTCAGTATTTAACAATATATATATTTATACTTCTACCTATCTTTTACTTTAAATCAAATTATATGTATTATTTTGGTATAGGGAAAAAAAGCCAGATATGCCAAAAGCACAGATCTACACAAAATTATAAGACCATTTCTTTTTTGAATAAAGGAACTTCAGAAAAACAAAAGTGTTTGTGTCCATCAGTTACAATCACTCCTTATGTATGCTATAATTAGATGAATCCATGCATACGACAGAGCATAAATCGGATACAAGTATTCACTACATGTACATATAATCATAGCAACTAATTAAATGAACCTGCTCTTGGAATGTAAGTTTTAAAACATGCTTTTTCGACATTTAAATACACATACAATATTGAGTCTTCATTGGGGCTACAGAGTGCTTAAATTTGATACCCTGAAACACAGCTAGACAGACAGACAGGCAAATTTCAAACTAAGTTTGAAAGTTTGACCTTTAAATGAAACTGTGTAATTAATTATTCTGTCACGCGTCTCTGAATGTACTGTAGTAAACTAACCATTCGGGCGAATCAAATTGCAATAATCTTCTTAAACCCTTTTCATGATCCATTTTCATTAAATGGACACAGAGGCCTTGGTCTCAATGGTTTAATCTGTAATTCGTATATATGTGGGACGTGATCTTAGCATTAGACTCTTTTATTTAGTGAGATGACCAAACAAATTTAATAATTTGTAGATTAAAATTGCTTATTTGTTCGACGCATTGGTTTAAATGTCGTGATCTTGAAACTGAAACACACGTTATAGATACTATATTCCAACGGTGAGTATGTCTTCATACTCTTTAAATCAACTTTTCAATTATTTTTAAAATTCAAAGTCAATAATTAGATGTATGAGCTAATGATATTTTTTGTCATTTTAATGAATGCTAAATCTTCAACCATGCACCAAACAGATAACAACATACAAATATAACTTTTAAAGTTCAACCTTTTAATAAAATTGTTTAATCATTATTTCTGGTTTCAGAAAGCTACCATGGCATCAATGCTATCCCCTTTTCATGATCAATTTTCATTAAATGGACACAGAGGCCTTGGTCTCAATGGTTTAATCTGTATTTCGTATATACATGTATGTGAGACGTGATCTTAGCATTAGAGTGTTTTTATTTAGTGGGATGGCCAAACAAATTTAATTATTTGTGTAAAATTGTATTACACTGTATGTTATTTTATCAATAGCAATACTGTATACAGGGTTATTTTCGCTTTAAATCAACTTTTCAATTGTTTTTAAAATTCAAAGATTTTCACACTTATTGATATATTTTGTCAATTTTGCCCCAATTCTTTTAATTCGCAACATACAAATATAGAACCAATAAGTTTTGTTTAAGAAATTATATCAATGCTATTCTTTGAATTCGCCCCGTTTGAAATTTTACAAATGACGTATCCTATGTGTAAGTATACACTGTATGATATTTTATCAATAGCAATATGTGAATTTTGTGATTTATTTTGTGATTCATATAATTTTATTAAAAATAACTATTTGCAAGACTTAACCATTACATGTAGTTTCCTAGTGACTTTGCTTGTAACTGTATGCTTCTTTTTAAAACAAATATTTACTTATTTTTAGGGAAATATGTCCGGTGCTTTATTCCCATCAAAATTTCAGGGTAGCCTTACTTCTTCCAGCGGTAACTATTACTTTTTCAGGAAGAAAAAAAATCATAATTCAGAAATATGTATATGAAATACGATAATAATAGGATTATATATGAATAAATTTATCAATTTGTAATCTTAGATTGTTCTCTGAACAAATCAATTTGGTTATGGAAAAAATTGTTAAAGATGTCTAACATGTTTTTCATGAATATGTCATTGCTTTACATATTTCGATTGCAGGCTATTGCCACATTAGTGTTGGCATTTTTAACACATAGAACCAAACACAAACTGCACGTGTTAAATGGACGACCTGGAATTGTATTGTAAGTACATCAAATAAAATACAAACAACGGTGTAAACTTATTATTTTGACAGTTTATCGATCTTTATCCTTTTTTATACCATTGGTGAAAGGTGGTGTTTTTTTTATACCCCAAACGTACAAATGTAAATAATAAAAATATAAAGCAACACGTTTGAAATCCTAACGCAGCCAAACTGATTTCCTAAAGTTTCTTTTTTTCAGCCCTATGGACATTCTCAAGAGATCTCACAGATTTTCCTATGCTGCTGCATTTGGAACCCTCGCACGTCTCTGTTCCGATATTGTATTCAGTGCTAAATATGCATTCAACTATAACGGTCCAATATACCTTAAAGGTTTGTTAGATAACATTTTACTTTTATTTGTCGTCTGCGTGGCGCAGTGGTTAGAGCGTTTGCTCTAGAGTCGCCAAGTAAGGAGTTGATTCTCATGTCGTGGTTTTGCATCGCACTGTGGCACATGGATATCGGTTCTTCGGATGAGGCCGTATAAATTGAGGTCCCGTGTCGCAGTAGGTGCTGGCACGAAAAAGATCCCTTCCTGCTCAATGGCCCTAAGTGCCGAGTATAAGACAAAATTTGCAGCTCTCCACCGGCAAGTGATGGCTTCTCCATATGAGCGAAACATTCCCGAGAGGGACGTTAAACAACATACAAGCAATCAATCAATTATAATTATGCTCTTTTTCTAAATCTTTTTAAAAATACATTTGATATCCAAAATTTTGGGAACGTATAAAATCAAGTTTGAGTGGGGAATAAAGAAATCTTCATAACCATTACTGAACACCAAAATCTTTCTCATGACTTTGTCGAGTTCTCTCATAGTCACACTTTACGGTTAACGATGAAAAGAGCTTTTGAAGATAAATATTAAAAACATACACCGTTCATATTTAATCAAATGGTAGAAGTTGTCATCACATAACATGAATAATACGTTGCTTTACTCAATTTATGTATTTTTCAGTTGAATATTAAAGACATTATATTAGAATCACCAATGATTTTGAACATTATAAAATGTAGTTGCTAATGTGCAGAAAAGTCGAATTTATGCTTACATGCAAATTACAATGTAATTAAACGCAATGTTTATACAAAATAATAATTGATTTCTCAACCAAATACAATCAACCCTCCTCCACGATATTCTACCCCGGGGCTTGTTTTGTTTTCATTAATCATATATTTATTACACTTATTCATATTATCATGTGTACTATGGAATAAAAAATCGGTAAAACCCTCAAATAATCTCTTCACATATCATGCAGTGGGGTAATTTTTAAGTGGAACGATTGTTTTGAGGTTTTACCAATTTATTCCTATGTTACATATTATGATAAATAACATTAATAAATATAATTTGTGAAAAGAAGTTTAACCAGCCCCATGGTTGAATTGAAAGAAGCCCACAATTACCTGTTCATTCAATTGCATATCTGATGCATGTCTTTTTAAAATCTGCAGTATAGAAGCATGCTGTACTTTTCTTTTTCAGTGTTTGTTGCACTTACCTCGATGTTTATATACGGTCTTGGCTACTATCCGTTGTTTGCTGGAATTACTGCAGAGCGTCCAATAGGATACTTCATTGCTACAATATTTGCATGGGTTTTCACGGCTGATTTCTTCATCACTTCCTTTTGTAAACAACCATTCACAGTAAATTACCTTTTTTTTTTTATTTAAGAAAGGAATTTCAAATATGAAAACTTGTATGCTAATATATATATTCATAAATCTTTTAGATAGTAAAATTAGTGTTATTATCTTGATAGATGTACGTAAATGCATATTAAAATCTTCCTTTTCAGATTTCCTATTTGGTCCTAATTATCGGGCTGCTGCCGGAAATTATCTGCTATCTGTACCTTACCTTTAGCCTACCCGCCAGATTTATTATTTCCATCGTCAAACCGAGGAAAAAAATAAAACTTGCTGTTGACTTTGAAAGCAGTGATGATCTTTATGAATCCATAAGGAAATCGTATCAGGGCAATCATGTTAGGAAACTGTTCATTAAACCAGATCCCCCTCCACCGTGAGTTTTGATAATTTTTCTTTTCTTTGTTTGTTTTGGTTTTTACTTGATTGATGACCTTATTTCTTGATAAATATAAGGAGTTTCTTTTGTTCAAGTAATTTTTCTTAATTAACAATTTTCAATGGATTTTGAACGTCTCCTTTGTAAAGATTAATTTTTTCTAATAGATGAAAAAATCTTCATTTTCCCCCTATTTGAGAATGTTTTCATATGTTTTCAAATGAATACATTATTAACAGGATATGTATATAAGTAGCGTCGAATATATATATATATATATATATATATTTTATTTTCAAATGCAGGCCCCCTGAGGGTATGAAGAATAAAATCATTTTGCGTTTGAAATCTCTCTCCGAAAAAATATTCTACAGAAGGGAGAAAGGTTAGTATGCATAGTATGCATTGAAAGTGTGTGTTGTTAAAATAATGTTCTTTATTCAATTGTATATTTTATATCGTTTAGGTAAACAATGTAGATGTCACTGTTTTAATCCTTATTATTATGTGATTCACTATCTAAAAATATTTATTTCAAGTGTTTAAAAGAAATGTTTTTCATGTTTTCTTGAATTAAGATACTTTTAATATAATTTTTTTCAGGATTCAGATATTCAGCTAGAATGATATCTTTAATGGCTGTAGGATTCGTTCTGCTGTATAAGGTAAATTTTGTTTCATCAACATAAAAAGTTAGCCAGGTGTTCACTTTATTTTTCATTTTTTATCAATGTTCAATATTAAATTAAATTGAAACACACCTATAGTCTTTCTGACATATTTTCTATTTATCAATAAAAATATACATTATGAAAGTAGTCTTAAGGCATATCTTATTGATAAATACCCGGTAGAAAATGTCAGAGACATCATATGTAAAAGTAACATTTTCTATACTGTATTTGAAATATAGTCTTGAGCGTCTGTTAAAGCAAATTGGTTTTTGTTCACATAGATTTCTTTGGAGTCCTTAGTTATAGTGTACGAGGTTTTTGATTATTTGGAGAATGGTCTGATCGCACAGTTTGAATCCATTGGATGGACCGCTCAACCAGGAGAAGCAGCCTCTATAGAAACAATAAGAGAAGGATTATATATAGCTTATTACTTTGTCAGATCTTTCAGAGGTGAGTCAGAGACGAAATAATCATGCTGAAATGACAATTTTTCTAAAGTACATGTATGTCATGAAAATTATACTCATGAAACATATTAGAATGTTGTTATTTTTTGACATGTACATGAGGATCCATCGTACTTAAACGCCGAACAATTAGAAAATGATTGGTTTGCATTAACAAAACTTTGAAAAATCTATGCTGATTAAACAAAACACAATGAAAATGAATTTCAATAGTTTTTCCCTGCAACCCTTTAAGGAGGTTGGGGGTCAACAAATTAACAAGAAATTAACCACCAGATATAACTTAAATTTTTAGATATGATATCTTTAGCTGTCAACTATCATTTGACAAAGAAAAATTTCATACATTTTAGTTTTAAAATTTGATCATTTTTGTATATCTTTATATGGAGTTCTTCTTCTAAAGGAGATCGAAATAGTCTAAAAATGGCAACGACCACCCAGCCTCTTTTATATCACTTTAAACATTGTCCTGAACCATGTACTTGTACTGTGAACTAGGTTTTATGTTCCATCAGGAACCAATGGAGAAGGAGCCATGATGTATTTGAAATAAAATATACATATGTAGTTGAACATCATGCTTTTTAATTATTTATTAAAGAGAACAATTGTTTTTTCTCATTTCCGGTGTGTCATTTAATATTAATAAGAATACCTTCATTCTGTTTCAGGTTGTACAGTGACCTCCTTGTCATTTGCTTTCCTCATAAACTTTGTCTTTCTGTTTCATTATTTGACATCTTACAGGTAATATTATAACTTATTTCTTTCTTTCATAAGTGTCTCTAATTTGTATTTTAAAAATTAAAAAAAGTTTTTCCAAGGATCATATACAATAAAAAGTGCTAAAAAATAAAAACGATGTTTAGTCAGAAAATTATGTTTATTTTGTAGACAAAATTTACTTTCACTATATAAAGGGCAGTCCAGACATCTCACTCCTAGGGCCGAAAAATCCAATTCAAGCCTGATGGTGTGTACAGATCTCTCCCTCTCTCTCTCCTTCCCTCCCTCTCTTTCTCCTTCCCCCTCCCTCTTTCACTCCTTCCCCCTCTCTCGATTTCCCTCTCTCTCCTTCTCTCCCTTCCCCCCTCTCTCTCCTTTCCCTCCCCTCTCTCTCTTTCCTCCCCCTCTCTCTCTTTTAGGAAAATTTACTGGGAATACTTCATATAAGTAAATTTTATTGCAATTACATTAAAGGAATAGAGTTTGATCTACTTTTGATAATTATTATTTTCAGGTCGGAAGCATGCGATATGCCGGTTATCAAGTAGGGTATATTGCATCTCCCTCTTTTAGGAAAATTTTCTGCATAGAGAAAATTTCTGTAGACTAAATTTACTGACTTGCAAATTAAATTGTTTATTCGTAATTATTTTCTTAAGTTTTAAAAATGCATGTTTTTTTGCTTATATGAAATTAATGCATTCATTCAATATTGCTTCATGATTACACATGCACAATATTTGGAATATGTTAGAGCAGTAAATTATTTTTTATTTTTAAAGGATTTTTCATCCAGCTGCTCTTGCTTTTGATTGTGTCTTTTGGAATAGCAACAACAATAATTATATGGGACATCCTTGGTGACTTCCTAGTATCACAGGTTATGAGGATTTGGTGTGTATTCTTAATGTGTACGAGGGTTGATCCAAAAGTTCGTGGAATTTCTTTCTAAAATTTTATCTTGATTTGATGAAAGCAAACAACAGGCATATTCATAATATAGAGTCATAATCTTATATGTTTCATCAGTTTCCATTACCTTCTGCGTTCTGAAAATGGATAGAAAATTTTGTCTAGTTAGATATGTCACGTCACGTTTACATCTCACCCCAATGAAAATTAAAAATGCTGGCCTTTTCTCCATTTCTTTTCTCAAGAAAAGCCTTGTTTTTTTTCAAGTTTTAAAAATGCATGTTTTTTCAGAAGCGATGTCAATATATGAAATTTGTCTAATATGCACTTAAAACAGAGCTTCCAAAAAACGACCACACCTTTAATCAACGTCATGGAAGTTCTATGTTTCTTCTTATGCCATTGAAAAACCAGTAATTAAATGCATTTCCCCAATTTGTCATAACATTGGAATATGTTATCCCGATTTTCACAAAACTTAAATTATTTTTTATTTTTAAAGGAATAAATCATCAACTTATAAACAAAATATCCAGTAATACCAGTAAAACTCTGCTTTTAAAAGATTGTAACAATGAAATAATTTTTGTTTTATATACCACACTGGGCGGTTTAACATTTCACGTATTATATGAAAATGATAATCCTTGGTTTCCAAACAACCGTTTCTATGGCAACTGCCATAGAGTTACAATCAAAGATATTCAATATATATTTTAATTTGAAATATTCCTCAAGTGTGTAATTTTCAACCAATTCCACTTTAAAATAAATAAAATATGAAGAAATTCCACGAACTTTTGGATCAACCCTCGTACATGCCCTAGATGCTGTTGTTTATTTAGCCAGGCAATTATATTTCATGTTAACTAATATAATCTTAAAAGTTCTTTTTTTATATATGTAAAATGAGCAATCTGTTAATTTACTATTCCAGGCCTGTGCTACTGACTTCTATACTGTTAAACATCGGACAGCTGTTGTTGGCCAAATTCTTATTTCTGCAGGAGAAAGGAGATATATTAGCTATGGATAATAGGTACCACGATGTCAAAAATTTATTGTTGTTACTTATCTTCATATCAAATACATTAATTCAATTTCATGCGACTTTCTATTTTATTATAGATACATGACATTGTATGTTTGCAATAATGAACAATACTTGATAATTTGCAAAACATAACATGTAGTGTATATAATGAATAACACATGTCTTTGGGGTTAAAAGAACGCTAATTCTTTTTTTGTAGACGATTGTTCTTCGTTGTGACCTACTTTTTATTCTTCTACAACATCTTCATTGGTATATTCTCGTGTCTGATGAGGATTCTGAAGTCCATAATTCTAGGATCACTATTCCTTCCTCGTCTGGACCATAGCGTGCTGCCCAGAAAATTCCAACAATTTGACCCAGGTAATTATAACTAGACCTTGGTGTAAACCCTCCAAATTCGTAAATGCACTAGTACTACAGTAATTCGTAGTTATTAATTGCATTCATGAACACTACATCTATTATTAATTTAACAAGTTGAACAACCAAAACATCTTATTTTGTTGTTTATATTTTAAATAAGAGTCCAATAATGTATTTGGATTTTTAAGATTTCTTTGAAATAATTATGTTTCTTGAGCGTTCTGAACATACATCGTAGTTATTTTACTATTTTATGGTATGTCACTCGTGAAATTTGTTAAATCAAGGATTTGTTGAGAAGTATATTTTAGATAATACTCATATAGAGTGACTCAAAATCGTAGAGAAAATAGGGGGTCAGTGTTCAACTTACTGATCTACGGTACAATGAAGTTGACCTTTCTGCACTTAAATTTTAACTCTTTGGTAAATTACTTAAACCTTTATTTCATTTTATCAGATGTAACCATGGCAAAAAATATCTTATTTTACGTAAAATATTTTGAATAATATTTATCATTGAAAAAAATCTTGCAAATTAATGCGCGTAAATTATTGTGTGACCTTTCTGCACTAAAAAGTAACATATTTTGGGGTATTAAAAAAACTAAAAAGGCAATAAAACGTTTTCTTAAATCAAGCTTTTTAAGATTGAAGTGTTGATCAGTCACAAGTATCGAGTACTTTAAAATAATGAAAGAAAAAGTTGGGGTCAGTGATGTTATTTTTGAAGTAATGGTCAAAATATGTGATTTTCAGGCAAAAAATGGTGTTAATTTTATATTGACTTATTTGACATATCTTCATTTTTTGGCAAAGTTTGTTCGAGGAAGGTGATTTTCATAAATTAAGACAATTAAAATGAGCTGCATGTAATTTTGTAATTAACTAATTTAATGACAGAAAAATAAATCATTTATAAACTTCTGTTGTTCATATTTGCTGAAAATGTTATTTTTTGATTGAAGCAAAATTGTTTGTTCAAATAATGGTATATTCGGTTGAAAAATATTTCTTCTAAAATTATATATTAAAGAAATTGCCTATATTAAATATTTCCTAGCAATTGCTTTAAATCAATATCATGGAAAATATTCTCCGAGTAAAAGTATGTGAGGCTGAAAGTCCAAGATATTTAATTTAATAAATGTGCAGATTTGCAGAATTATCTGCTAAATATCCTTCCACCACAAAAAATAGTCCCCCATAAATCTTGCTTCTTTGTAGCTTTTTTTTACAAGTTTTTTGTTGAATGTTAAAACATTAACATTGTTGAAATTAAATATGTTATAAAAATTGAATTTTGATAAATAGTTTTGAAGTAAGAGGTTCTACGTGAACTTTTCTAAAAAGCTGACGAGTGACATACCTTAAATTTATTTTTTTATACACAGGTTTTGATGCATATTGTGGTTTTATTCACGTGGAAAGTACACATACGAACCCTGTTGCTATGGTTTTCATCAGTATTTTACAAGCAGAATCATTGACTACCTTGAAAAGAAACAAATTAAATGATGTTGATTGTACCCCAATGGGTAAGTTGAATATACTAAATCATCTGCGATGTATCACGCAAACTCCATCAACTATGAATTTGTTTAAATAGTTTTATCCTTCAAATAATAAAAACACCCAAATATTTAACTTATCTTTTTTTTTTTTTATCAAATATCCATCAACATGATCAAGTTAGTAGAAAAAGTAAAATATACTATAATGTATATTAAACGACATTGAAAAACGCTATTTAGAGAAAACAGCATCTAACATTTTCCACCCTCTTTCCTTTTTAATAACGAAGAGTTCAAAATGAATATTCATTTACATATTTTTTTAACTTTCAGATATAGGTATGTTGCTGATATAATAAAAAGCACAAAAGAGTATTTAAAATATATTTTAAAACTTTAAAATATGTTTCACTTTTAAAAGTTCAAAGCAATGTTCATCTAACTTTATTAACAGTTTGAACACCTTGACATCCAACCTCATGTCATAAATGTACACTAGCCCTTCCTAAACTAAATGTATACAGAAATAATGATCTCATCCTTAAAAGGTACAAATTAATAAATGTTTACTTAAGGATTGAACATAAAAAAAATATTAATGCATATAAAAATGGTGACGATTAAATTTCAGTGAGGTTAATAAAACACTTCCCGCATAAAGAAGGTATATAACCTTTTTTTGTACAAAGATTCGTTAAATATCTTTGTAGATGAGAAAGAGGAAATGAAAGATCAGAAACGACGGAAGGCGAAATGGAAATGGCTGCTCGCCTTCACTCTTGTAAATAATCCAGAACTCTCGCTTCAAAGAAGACTGGTTCTGGCAAAGGAGCGCAACGAAAATGTTAAGGAAATTCTCTTCTCTCAGTATGCAATACCAGAGGAAAAAAGATGCACCGAATCCAAAATTTAAAAAATAAAACCCTCGTTCAATTGCATTTATATTATGATTGAATTTACATTACTGCATTCTATGTAATTAATCAATTTGAATTTTTGTATTTCTCAAACGTTTAATATATGCAATTTGTGATAAAACTTTACATGTATTGTAGCACAAAACACGAAAATTCAAAAGAGTGACAATTTAGTTGAATTTCATATAATTATAAGCAAATTATGAAAAATCAATTTATTTCTTATATGTTTAATGAAATTACGTTAAAGAATTTTTTTCATATTGATAGAATATTTTTATTGTTGTGCAGTTCAACAAATTATTTATTCACTAAGAATACACTGTAGTGAAGTCTGTAGTGACGTCCGTCTGTAGTTTCTCCGTAACAGCAGTTAATAATTTTGAAAGGAGTAAAGATTCTTAGAAAGTTAACTTGTCCAATATACATGTATATGTAGGTATGATAGATGGAACACACTTTGATTGATTTGGAAGTTAAAAGTATTCAACACTGAAGCATGATTTTGAAGAATGTAATTCTTAAAAGTACACTAAGAGTATAATTTGGATTTCCAGAATACGTAGAACTAAAGGCAAGTTCTTTTCAAAGGAAACTTTTAGACAAAGGTTTAATCACTGCAACATGCATCTACATGAATATTAACATGTAATTCACAACAACGCTTTTCAGTTTTATAATAATTGTTCACTTAATTGCAATTATATTGAAAAAGAAACCAATGGGCATTGATTGCCACAGGAATAATGCACTCTTTGTAACAAATCTTGATAACATTTGAAAAACCAAGGAAAAAATATTCTCTGGGTTAATAGCGTATGGAATTATTTATATATGTAACTTTTTTATGTTCACTAAAAAAGAAAACTATTTGTAAACAAATAAATTATTGAACATACTCGTAATTATACTTATATACATGTATACGTATATGACATTGATACCTAAATATACAAAAAAGCATAATCAAACAACCTTTTGGGGTCAAATGATTTGTAAGTTGGTTTTCTCAGAAATCGTACATCGTCATAATACTTTTCTAAGAATGTTCCTTAAGATATTCTACGATCTCTACTAGAGCTTTCTGGGAGTTTGAATAGAGATCTGGAATACCAACAAAGGCATGATCCATGCCCTTCCAGTGGCGATGTCTAACATTAATTCCAAGTCGGTCAAGTCTGTTTACTAATAAGAAACTATCATCCCTAAGGGGATCCATTTCTGCAGACAAAATGTATGTTTCAGGAAACCTCTTCAAAACACTGTCGTCTGCTAGTAGAGGAGAAAACAGCGGATCAAGAAGGTATTTGTTCAATTTCTTCGCTAAAGTTGGATTTTCTAGTCTAGGTTTGGATGAATTATTCGCGCCCTCACGAATCTGGGCTGGCAAGTTGTCATTCTCTAACCAAATAGCCTTTTCTTCTACCTCTTTTGTCCAGTGACTATTCTCTAGAAGTTCATCAATATTTACAATTTCCATTCCTAAAGCATAAGCTACGTAAAATTTCATCATTAGTTCAGAAGAAAGAATAGTTGGAACATTTGATCCTCTGTATTTTTGGTAAGATGGCGTGCGGAAATTCACTGCTTGTAATGCAGGATATATGAGAACCAAGTTCCTAATTTTTGGAAGGTTTTCTCTTACTACTGAGGGAGACAGTAACTTTGTCATCATAGCCATGGCTAAATTTCCACCAGCACTATCTCCTTTTAAAAATATAAATAGAAATTAGTTTCTAGTATTCTACAAGTTAAATGGACATGGACACAGTTTCAAGTGAATTTTTTTTAACCAATTTTATTGTTTACAATTTCTAATTAAGGCAATTCTAATGCATGATCAGCAAAATTTGAACATCATTTGTTGATAAACAAACAAGATACGGAACATAAAGTTGAAGTTCTTCACAATGTAAACAAGGCTCGTTCCTTGTTTTTGTTCAAGTATAGAAAATGTCATATTTATAACAAAATGACTTTCAGCAAATCACTAGAAACTGTCTAATCGTATTTAGAACTAACTTCTTAATTGAAATTATCTGCTTTGAATGAACATATATTGTAAACAAAAACATGACAACACTCTGTTTACATAACAAAGGTTTGGAACTCTTAATCTGCTTTGTACCCGACAACTGAAGTTTTTTTATGATCAAAAGAAAGTTCTTAGTTGAATATTTGCAAAAATGGAAAAATTGAAAATTTTAAGCTGAAACGGTATCCATGTCCCTTTAAGAGGTATAAACAAAACATAACAAGTATCCTCGAAGTAAAAGTCCGAGTTTTGCGAAGAATTCAGTTTTCAATCTACAGACATCATACTTCTCTGATAACAATGGTTTCGGACACTCGATGTGGAAAAAGAAATTTCTAAGCATGACTTGCATAAATGTAAATACAAAAGAAAAAAAAATGGCACTTTTCTGTGTTTATTAACATTACTGTGGAAACATACCCATCAATGTGACATTGTTCTGGTCTATTCCAAGAGATTCTCTGTTTTCTAAAACATAACGAGTAACGGCAAAACAATCGTCCGGTGCAGCCGGAAATGGGTTTTCTGGAGCGAGGCGATAACTGTAATGTTGAAGATTTTGAATATTTTTATTGAAATGATGGATGTTAAAACAATCATTGGTCTATTTCGCTTTTTTTTAATAATCAGATAATTAAATAATTTTTTAAATAATTATTTTAGACATAAATATGGCAAAACCTCAAAATTGTACTTATTAAATGTTATCTTGTGGAGTTGAAGGCATCATGAAAAATTAATTAATCTATATGATTTCAAAAAAGTTGTCTGAAGGCTTTGTGGTAATACATATCAAATGTAAAACTGAAGTGGTAGCAATCTAAGATTAGAAATTTTGAACTGACGAATTATTCTCAATGATCAAAGTGTCATTTTTCTTATATCTCTTGATAAGAAAAGATATTTTAAAAGTTTTATGTACTGTAATGCAGTAAACACTCCGTAAATTTTTCAACTGTTTATTCAGTCTTCATTATTCAATACAGACATTTAGTGATGCCTGTGATGCTAAGGTTAGAAATGTTACCAATGACTCAAAACTGTTTGTTTACAATTAAGAAATATATTTAAAATGCTGTTTTTCTACGATCTTGAAATGTTTGAAAGTTCGACACATACATATGTATTCAAGAGGTCGTGACAGGAAATAAACGGACAAATCAAAAATCTTAACTGAGGTCTCATAATTTAAAAAAGAAAGAGAGAAAAAAAAGATCTTCGCCTTATCTTTTGTTTACTTACCGAACTGATACAATAACCATTTTCCTCAATCGTACCAAAATTCTAAGCACCGAGTCATATCCCTCTACGAAAAATAAAAATGAAGAAGTACATTAAATAATTTTCCACAAATCGCAATCTTTTTTTCTCTTTTATTCTTTACAAAATGGTAGATGTAAAGAAAAGATAATGCTGAAAGAACATGCAAAGTATAAAATTGTGAAAAAATGGCTGGAAAATTGCAGATTCGAAGAATAAAATTTTTAATTCATTTATGACATTCCTATCATGTAATAATCATGGAAACACCCAAAAACTGATTTTCATTTAGTTTTTTTTCAACTTTCGTCGTATTTTATTACTGATATAACTCACCCCACACTTCCCAGCACCACCCTCCTCCGTGAAAATATATCACTCCGGGGAGTTTCTCGTCACTGGTATTTGTTCCTACCGGGCGAAATATCCGGACAGGAATGCCTCCTAATACCGTGTTTTCTGTCTGGGTGTAAGATATGTTTACTTTGTTATTTATTTTTACATAATTTCTCACCGAATTAACGAAATAAACTTATAATGAAAATATGTTAAAATGTTCTTAGATCAATGTCTTGATCTACACTTTAAAAACAGTGACGGATATGCGAATATTCAATATATAAGCTTCGGGATACTCAAACAAGACAAAAAATGCATAATTTATATATTCTAGACTTACAAAGGGAGAAATATGAAGGAATCTGTGTAATAATCTTTTAACTTGTACTAATCAAATGTATATATATATATATATATATATATATATATATATATATATATATATATATATATATATATATATATATATATATATATATAAAAATTTACACTTAAAAAATATCTAGAGTTTTAGGTTTTGAACAATAATAAAAAGCATGCTCATAATTTGAAGTTCATATTACATGTATATGTGCATATTTTTTAGGTTCTATACATAAAAGTATAATTATAAAACTTACTATTACAGTGTCCCCCGTGTGTTGTTTGGGTGGGGGTTCTAGTCGAAGTAACACGACTTCATGGCCTCTTCCTAACCACATTCTTAACTTAGTCTGCCGTAAAAATAATGTTTTATACTTTACTAGTTACAGAATTATGGAATAACTGTCTAATTTTTCGATTTCATGATGTGATCAATCGATTGACTTGCGTGATAATTTGCATGCGTAAAATTATCACGCAAGCCAATCGATTGATCATCGTCATGAAATCGAAAAATCTGACAGTTATTCCTTATATTTACATGCTATTGATTCCACCAATCCACGTGCTACAAGCCCCGCTTCTTGTCTCTATTTGTCCCGCCCTGCACGTGATTTTTTTAAACCGCGCCTATCGATGAACCAATACATCGATGGAGGAATAAAGTACATTAACTATTTGTAATTTTATCTCGAACAGACATTGGAAATGTAAATATTTAAGGAATAACTGTCTAGTTTTTTGGTTTCATGATGTGATCAATCGATTGGCTTGCTTGATAACTTGCATAAAGGCGTTTATGCATAAAATAATTGCGCAAGCCAATCGATTGATCATCGTGACGGTCATGAAATCAAAAAAATCTGACAGTTATTCCTTATATTTACATGTACATGCTCTCGATTCCGCAAACCAACGTGCTCTAAGCCCCGCTTCTGTCTCTATTTGTCCCGCCCCGCACGTGATTTTTTAAACCGCGCCTATCGATGAACCAGTCAAATTATGGTGTGTTCCCCGAACGTTAAGAGGCCCTCTGAGGGGCACAGGTAGAGTTTACCTGTGTTACCTGTGTCTTAAACTGTATGAATAAACTACCTGCATTTATATGACTGTTTCAAAGACTTGTAAGTTATATTGGTAAAATCTTAGCGATAAGTCCTATAAAATGAATTAAATGTTGTTCAATTTTTTAAATATTTTTTACTCAAATGTTCAAAGTATTTACTAGGTATTTTAGTCAATCTATATTAATCAATGTTTCAAAAATCTTACCAATAATTCCTATAAATTGAATTAAATGTTTTTCAAATGTTAAAAATATTTTTCTACTCAAATTTTTAAAGTATTTATTTTAATTTTGTAGCATAAAACTACCTTCATTTAAATTAGAAAAAAGTTTATTTTATTGTGCTAATTGATCTTGACATTGTAGATATATTTTATTTAATTTTTTTCAATACATCCGTTGAATTCTTTTATTTTTTTATAGTACTTAATAATTTTCATGTCCGTTTTTAGCTTAAGTTGTAAGCATTTACTCTGAATACATTTAATGTAATAACAATTTATCATTTTCAAAATCGTTTTAAGTCTCCATGATAAAACTTAAATCTTAAGACTATTAATTTTATTTTATGCATTTGTGAAAATGTACAAAGAAGCATACATGTAGCATTCAATAATTTGAAAACAAATCACTACTGTGAATTTTGAATATAATTTCAACTAACAACATAAATTATGAATAATTGGTATTGAGACTGGTTAGATCAGTTCACTTTGAAAGTTAGATAAGACTTTTTCTGTGATGGCTCATTTTACACCTGTCCCAGCCTCAAAATCTGAGCTTATGAGATGAGAGATTAAACCCAATAAATGTGAAAAAAGTGCTAATAAATGTATAGAACTGAAGTGATATAAACTCTGCTTCCCATATTAATATAAGATATGAAAAGCATATTAAATAGTACTTAAAATGTGATTTTAATGAAGAGTGCTCAAAGTGTTTCATGAATTTTAAAAATTAAATATTTGTAAATAATAAACTTGTCATCACTTTACATACATTGTGTCATAGTGCTTGTAAAGAAATGTACTGAAATAAAAATATTCATATGAAAAAACACTTGTTTGGTGTCTTGAAATATAGTTATTTAATCAAATAAATTATGGTTTGGTTCATATTCTTTCTCAGAAAAATAAATATATTTGATTTAGAATATTAAATCAAGATAACTTTCTCAGAAAAATAGATATATTTGATTTAGAATATTAAATCAAGATAACACAGGTAAACTCTACCTGTGCCCCTCAGAGGGCCTCTTAATTGAGTGTGATAATTATACTGTTTATATAGGTTTTAGACGTTCGGGGAATAAACCCAAATTATAAATGCAGAAATAAAAAGCCGTATTGACCTTGCAGACATCGTTTTTAGTAAGTATTTAGACATTTAGCCAAACCCTTGGAAATAAAATGAGAAAACGAACGCAAAAGTCGGCAAATAACAATCTACTTAAAAATGGAACAAACAAATTAAATGATTTTTAAACGTACGAAAAAAATAGATTATTTATAACTTTACAAAAAATTAAAAGATAAGTATACCTGCAAAAGAACTGTTAATACTGTCTAAATATCTTACCACTCTTCCCATGATCCACCACATGAGCAGTAAAATCCGCCTCTTCATTATTTCCTCCGCTGGTGGTGGCATTGGAATAATGAAAAACCTGTACGTCAGAATTGCTAAAATTCCAACGCCAAATACGAGACTTCCCTCGAAAAGGCAGGCCATATTGAATTGTACGAAGAATTCTCCCGGTGGTCTTTAATGTACTGTATCTGTCTATATAAAAAAATATCATAAATAATACTTTTTTATAATATAATGAAATGTGCACGATAATTATTATGGTCCGAAATGTCTGACGTTTTTAGAATTTTGAAATTTATGTGATAAGCACTAAAAATATATCCATTAAAATCATAAAAAGGCGTGGAAAACGTGAGAAATTTCGGAACTATATAATTGTTTGATTATACGCATGTCACTTATCATTGATGCAGAACACAGACCTTTAGATCGCTGAAATCCGTATACTTTATACTAAACTAAGACACAACTGATTACCTAATTATGATCTTTATAAACGCAATATAATCAAAAGTCCTCTTATTGTTCATGTGGAAAGTATGAAGATGTTTATCATTATTTTTTTGCTTGTAGAAAGTATGCAAATGCTAGAAACAATCTTTTTAACCACCTGTTCATGACTGAAGAATTGGCTGGACACTAATCTGTTATTATGGGGTGATAGAGGTTTGCCTGTTTCAAGTATTCAACTAAAAATAATATTTTTGCTGCTGTCCATTGTTTATTACTGAAACGTATAAATTTTAAATTGAATTGTTATTAACTTATATCACTTGAAAATATTATAAATATTACATTTCAATGTATTATTTGCATGACATATTGCTATGTTATTGTTTATGGAGAGGAACCAGTAAGTTGTAAGAAGTTGTAAGAACTTGTTTCTAATCCATTTGATTCTTCAATAAAATATAATATGTTCAAACCAAAAAAAAAAAAAAAAAAAAAAAAAATGAGATGTATAAAAAAGATAAAAGTATAGAACTCCTTACATATACATAAACAATCTTCACTACTATCAAAATTCATTGCGAAATTCCAGATACTGTACTTCCTGAGATATTCTGAAATCAATTACAAAACTGACCTACTTTTTTAAAATCGAAATTATAGTTTGGGCCCCTGATCATTCACAGCCATTGTTTGAAATGCAGTGAAGAGATGCATAGTACATGTATTTGCACAATCTTTCAACAGTTGATTTCTTACTCCAGATCGTAAGGTTACCTACCTACCTACCTAGTCCTTGTTATGTCCGTGGGCACATAGGGCAAGGACTAGATTTCTCCACTTCTCTCTATCTTAAGCATTTCTTTCTAGCTCTCCCCATGTTAGCTTGTGGTCCCTCATTTCTTTTTCAACTGTCCTTCGCCAGGTGGTCTTTGGCCGACCAGGTTTCTTCTTCCTTTCCGGTGTCCATCTAAGGGCTACTTGGGTGATGTTGTCAACACATGCCCTATCCATCGCCATCTCCGTTTAGTCAACAAAGTTCGCATGTTGTCTGTGCTGGCCTTCTCATGTAGTTCCAAATTTGTAATTTTGTTTGGCCAGAAAATCCTCATGATCTTTCTGAGGCATCCATTGTGGAAACTAGAGAGTTTGCATATGTCTCCTTCTGTCATTCTCCAGCATTGTGACCCATAGAGTAGGACAGATAGTACGCAACTGTTATAAATTCTTATTTTTGTCCTTCTACTTATATATAAATAGAAGATCGTAAGGTTAAGTCTGTAATAATTCCTTTCGCGAAAAAATAATTAGAAAACTGCAATGAACAATTCAACAATCAGCCCAAGCTGATGTTGATTTAAAAAAAAAAAAAAAAAAAAAAAAAAAAAAAAAAAAAAAAAAATAAAAAAAAAACAAAAAACTAAGGCCAAGTTTGGACTTTGTTTCAGAATATATCGGGAAGTATACGGAATTTCGGAATGAATTTTGTTAGCAGGCGAATGAAGATTGTTTATAAAATATATATTGATATGGATAGAAAGTAAAATTGTAGAATTAAAGCAATTGATCTAAAAGAATTTTATTGGCCAAAGTGGGCACCCGGCCTATGTAAAGATTTCCACACTTTTTTTTAACACCACCATTATTTTTTGTAAGCGATCCAAGGGCCTATAATGCAGAATATGAAGAAAAAAATTCTGACCGAGAATTTCAAAACGTATAGGCCGCCATACAAGCGGCTGGATAATCTGAGAAATGTCAAATATCATAACCATGTAGGGCCTGCAGTATGTACACCAATAATGCTCGGCGGTGCAGTTATGGAATATAACTGAAAAGTAGTTCACTAATAACGAAATACTGCATGCTTGAATACAGACATATGTATATATAAATTTCTTACCTGTATGGCCAAGAACTGGGTGTACGTCAGTATTTGTTATCAGGCTGGTATTTGTTTAACAGGGTATAAGGTTCAGTAAATGACAAAATTTCTTGTCTTGTTTCAGGATGACTGACGTGTAGAAATACGTACTGTATTTTCCCTTTCATAACGCAATAGAATGCCTTTAAATATTGTATGGCGGGCTCTTTGTATATTGAATACCATTTTTCATTTCGATCGGGTTCGTTTATTATACGAAAGTGAAAGTAAGAGCACCACACACACGTGTTGTTATACTTGTGCTGAAAAATGACAGATACTGGTACTGAGGATGACGATTGGCTATTTGATTCGGTTACAAGGTAAAATACTTTTTGTAACTTTGTGTGAAACAAAGCGACTCTACTGTTTTCAACGGCACCTTACTTTCAGCAGCAACAGCTGACATGAGTACTTACCTGCTTACTTTAATATTGTTATTATTTATTTAAATAAGTAAATGCTGTTTGTATATAGCTTTCTAATAATTTGATTCTTAAATTCCTTTTTGTAGATACAAACATCTGCACATGTACGATCTACAATATCCAGTGACAGCATTAGAATGGATTGACACAAACGGTTTGTACACAGATCACAGAGGCTTGTCGCGATTTATTTGTCAACCTCTCGATTTTATTGCCCACCCCTAAATTAAAGGAGTGGTCAAATTAAAAGAGACAAATAAATCATAACGAGCCCCTGTGTACATTTAAACATTTATCATTATCATAATTAGTAGAGTAATTTTTTTTAATTAAATTCAATCTGTGAAAGACTGGCAGATTGATGTAGAATTGTTTGTCAAGGATTCTTGAGAACTGATCTGCTTCATCACATTTTCTCTATTTTAGTTCATGTACAAAACGTAATTTCCATAATGATATGAAAATTTCCAGGCTGTTTTATGTACATGTTTAACTAATAGGTAGCTGTGTTGCAACAAGAGGGATGTATAAACATGAAGTAACTGAACTTAGCCTTCCAGATAAACTATGTTCAGCTGAAGATATGGTAAGATTTTTTTTTATCAAGTTTAAATTAAATTTAAAATATCTGACAATTTTTAGAACCAAAGAAAGCAATATTTTAAAGTATTGAAGTATGCAGTTGATGTGTACTCATATGATAATTTAAAAAAATAAAAATATATATACTATAAAGTACGAGTTAATCATTACTTTCAAAGCTTACAAAGCAACTCGACCTCCCCTTCCCCAAGAAAAATGATTATGAAGTTAAAAAAATACAAATAATGCAAAAGCAAGTTAATTCAAACCTTTGGATTTCTTAAGGGTCATTGATACTCTGATAAGAGAGATAACTCTTATTATTATACTTTCATGTTAAATACTAAAATCTGATTGGTTTAGACGCAGTTAACAATCCGTTCTATTACCCTCAGCCATAGCAACACACGTGACAACGGGTAACACAACGGTAATGCCACATGCGGTTCACCGTAGAATTCTAAAAGCGTCAGTTGCGCGTTTGAAAGAACCGGAATAAACCTAATGTCAATAAAAGCTTGCGTCCGATGTAGCTTACTTGAAAACAACAAACGACAGACGAAACATGCTTGCAAGTGCAGAAATAACGAAACTTTAGATGATAAAGGACTTTTAGGGTATCAAACAAACAATAAAGAGGTCAGTAAATCTTTTTCGAAGTAGCAGGGAGTTTCAAAGTTTTCTAAACGTGAACGTAAAGACGATCGATGATTTTTTTGCTGACATCCTAAATCAACAATACATTCAGTATAATAAAATGAATGGTGCCTGTTTTGGAGGGTAACAGTTGAAATTGACACCCCTCGGAAAACCATTGTCAACCTCCGCTGACGCGTCGGTTGACAATGGTTTTCCTTGGGGTGTCAGTTTCAACTGTTACCCTCCAAAACAGGCACCATTTATATAATGACATAGATGTCTATTATTCCTTTATAGATTTGCCAAGATGAAGTGTCTTTTTTGTCCAAATTTGCACCGCAAGCTTTGCTACACTTGTCGGTATTTTACTTATAAAATACATTTCTTTTGGAAAATCATTAAGGTTCAAGTAACATTTTATATGAGTGAGCAGAGGATTTATGAACCTTAATCATGTTAATACAAGAGCTGTGAGCTGATAAGATTTTATTTTCATGATGAATGTTATAGGCATTGTCAAAGAACAGAGATTTCCAGGTTCTTACGGGTGGGTTCAGTTCCACAGAGATCAGGGATATCAAGCACATCCTGGGAACAAGGTTAGCATTCAAGTACACCCTTACAACTTTTACAATATCTAACATTGTTCTGAAAAAATAGGTTTTTTTGGATGGAAAGAGGATCTATGTATTCATGTTTCATAAATGATCAAAAATGAATAATACTGCACTTTAATACCCGGTACTTTTGAATAAGGTTTAGATTTTTTGATTCCTTCTGATAATATCAAACTGTAATTTGTACTGACAGATTAATTTGCACAAGTGCTGTCAATGCCGAAGGTCAGCTGGTTATATGGAATTTAGGATCTCATGATACAGGTATGTATTACTGGGGTAAATTTTTTTTGATAAAATTAATTTGTACTGCAATAATGTATGAAATACAAATCTTGTGTAATGAGATTCATCTGTACATAGCTTTTGAGATAATGTTTGCTTGAAAAAGTTTAGACTATGAATTATTTAAAGTTCACCCGTCTATTGCATATTTTCACACTATAGTCCTTTATTCATAATGTTTATCATTTATAAAGCAATAAAAAATTTATATATCACTGTTATTTTTTTTCTAATGATTGCTGGTATTTATTAATGTCTTACAATTATTAATATTGTTCCTCATGTTTCAGTAAAAAACTGAAAAAAATGATTATTTTTTTGGAAATTACATTGGAAGGTACATTTATATTGATATTGCTGATATTTCAGATCTGATTAAAGTAGACAGAAAGTTGAAGAACATAAAACCAAGAGGGTGAGTATTATTAAACTGTAAATTTATTAGATTTCTGATTTCAAATTCATTATATGCCTTAATCTAATACACCTACCTTTGCCATGTCATCTCAAAGATGCATGGATTTTTAATATACTGTAGATCACTAGAATTTGCAACACTTAAATTTTGCGAGGTAGCTATATCGCATTTATGAGCAAGACAAAATTTTTCACATTCAAGCTGTGGTCATTTTTGTATATAATCATTAATGAAACAGAGATATGTGAGAAAATGTTTTTACAAGCAGGCAGACTCTTGATAATTACTCAAAATGAAGTTCTTACGAAAAATAAAAATGACAAAAACTTGCATTCATATAAGTATGAATATCTATGACTTCATGCAGCTATAAATTAATTGGTCAGCTAATGATTAATTACAGATCATGGTCATTAATAGCAGTACAAAATCAGGATCATGTGACTTTTGGTTCTCATGGAGATAACCTTTGTTGCACAGACATCATAGCCCATTCTATTGTACAAGGCACTAGTGGTATGTATAACTTTTATTTCACTCCATTGAAAAAATAATTTTTTTTCTTCATAATTTTATTCTTTCTTGCTGTACTTAGTCCTTATTATACTAGTCTAGTAGGAGTCCAGTCATGACAAAGTACATCTGCATGGGGTGTCTCTTAGTTCTAATCCTGGTCTAATTTTTTGCACTATTTGCATGAAATCAGTAAACTCTGCATGTTAAAAAATATACATATTTTCCAATAAATCTGCAGAGATGTGGTTGTTTCTGATGATCTTATAATAGTATACAGCTAAATATGGCTCACAGAGCAGGTTACTTTTTGGCACCTTTACATTTTGAAAATAGAATTTTTTTATTTAATTTTTTCTCCAGAATTTTCAAATGCTGGCAAAATTACAAGCATCAGAAAATCGGACTCACATACTGTGTTTTGTTGTCTTATAAATGGAAAATTACTTAAATGGGACAGGAGGGAGAAATTACCAGTTGTTCTTGACACTAGTTCTGAACAGTCTTCTAACTGGACTCTAGATCTTAAAGGGAATGATGTAGTTCAGTTATCATGTATGGGTCGTGTTCATTTCCTTGATGTCAGGAAACCTGACCAGAAGATAAGCTCCAGTAATATTGGCTTAACATCTATAGATGTAGAGAACCTCAGAATTTGTTTAAAGGTAAGTTAATTGCAAGTTCCTTCATACTTTTTTGGGGAAACAACTGTTAGTCAAATTTAGATTTATCAATGACTTTCGGTGCAATAATTTGTATTTCAAATCTAAGAAATTCATGTATAAATCATTACAAAAATAAGGCACACTGAGTTGTAAAAACTGTTTTTTCATAGTTCAAATAATATAACCAGATGTATGCGCCCTGAATAAAATTTTTATTTTATATAACATATGATATATCGAGTTATGTATTATATGGAACTTCATTTTTATTTTATATAACATATGATATATCTTATGTATTATATGTTCATATTAATGCAGCTCCAGTTCTATTTTAAAGCAAATTGTAAATAAGACTTTTGAGTGCGTAGAAAACTGACAATTTTTAATAACATGTATATTTGTGAATTTATCTCTTCTCAGAAGGAGAATGATCACCTTATGCAGTACTCAGTTTCAGGTAAGGCTACAATGCATAAATTCACTTCTCTGGTTCTCAGATAAATTTTCTCCAACAAAAATGCGGTTGGGAGGCTCTTTTTTATAATCATTTTATTGGTTATAAAGTAGATAAGGGAAGCAATTTTGTTAAAACTGGAATTTTCTATAAAATAATGTTAAAAATCCTTTGTATATAGATATATTTCCCAAACTTTCTTATCTGATCAAAAGGTTTGATTTATATATGGATAATCCATGTGTGGGCATTGTAGGCATTATAGATCTTTGATTTTAAAACGTCAAGTCTCATTAAAAAATGGCTACCGCAGTGATGTTTAAGTACTAAACTGGAAGAAAATGAATGATGTCTATAAAACATGTAAATAGTGGAAATATTCAACTTGCATTTACAACTTTTATTTTATCAAAAAATCTTATTTAAATTTGCAATTGGGCTACCTTCAAAGTTCATAAGCAGATTTTAATTTGGCAGTAAATATTTATTGAATGAATGATATCTATAATACAAACTGAAAATTTTTAACTAATTGAACCAATTGATGTCTGAACGTTTTAATCAGTCCTTCAAAGCTCATGCAGATTTGAAGTAATACACGTTTATAATAAGGTTCCAGGATAGATAAATCTTCATTATAAACATAATTTGGTAAAATCATTAGCGGAGTGAAAATACTTCACTGTAAGAGTAAATTCACTGAATGTATTTTACTGTATATCTGCAATCAAAGGATACCTCAAAGTTTTAGAGAGTCATTTATATTTATTATTATTCAACATCTATGCCCAAACCATCAGATTTTTCAAACTTTTAGTTCTCCTTTATATATTATTCAACTTCTATACCCAAAACCATCAGATATCATAAACTTTTTCTTCAGTCCATCAAAAATGTGAACATACAGAATATCTGTATCAGAAATCCTTTGTGAGAGTTCAACTAGATAAACAAATACAATGTATAATTATTCTTAGGAAAAGTCCCTTTTAAAGAAAAGAGTTTGTTTTGCTTTATCTTCTAAAATTTAACTTTCTTTGGAATATATATACACTTTTCAAAAGTCTCTCCAAATAATTCATTTTTTTTTCAAAGTGTTACAAATAAAGACATACAATTCCAATATTTACAGGGTTTGATGGAAATGTTTACCTGTATTCAAAAGAATCATCATCCCCAATATTTGTTCATGAAGGACATGTTAGAAATTGTAGTGATGACCCTTTGGTTGTTAAGGTTGTAACTCATCTAAGTCACCCAATAGAGGATGTAATTTTATCAGCTGCGACGGACGGGTCCTTGCATGCATGGCAGAACACTTGAAGAAAGGGTTCAAACTATTATACAGTTGAACCTTTATTTGTAAAACTGGATGGAACTGAGAAGAAAATACTTACAGATATCTGAGGATTTGAGATATCCAGGAAAAATTATTTAAAGATTAAGCTTTTGAGAATTTCAAATCATTTCAACATATCCATTGTATTTGAGATTTCAGTTTTCATCAAGATACTTTAATTTCAAATGCGTTATATTTTATTCCGTTATGTTAGCTTTTCAGAGATTGAAATCTACATGTATACCAGTTACAGTTTTTTTTATAAGCAATAATTGTTGAAATTGAATTGAAGCCAATTTCACAGATGTGAAGGGACTCGGTTTCTTTGGAAATTCAAATTAAATGTCGTAAAAATTGTTCCAGATTTACTACATATATTGGCTAACCAAGTATTTAATGTATACATTGCTGATTTTTCCAACATAGCTATGATTGTTTATATGATGGATGTTATGTTATGTAATCAATATTTTTATGCCTTTACCTTTTTTTAATTCTGTATTTATTTAAAAACTTACATATTAAACTGTTAAAAATGTTCATATTTATATTTTTGTTTAGAACTTAATCACAAATTTTCATGGGGGTTTAATTTTTGTTGTTTTCGAGGTGTGAAGAGACTCACGAATTCATGTCCACCACGAAATGTAAAATGTGACATATAAACTACTCAACAATTCTACATCCACGAAATCAAATCCCCACGAACCAAGAGTTTTTCCTCAAACCACGAAAATTTGACTCCACGAAAATGTGTGATTTTACAGTATGTAATTTTTCTTAAAAGATTAACCTTATGGTCATTTTTTTCACTTTACACATGTAAAATCACGTTCATATAGTTTTTGGTGGATTTAAGGATAATAATAAATACATGCACACTGTTTAACCAATGATTTATTACCGGCGGAAACTACTACAACCTTTGAGCAATTTTTTAAAGATGTATCACTCCATCAAGAGACAGCAGAACCTAAGTTCTTATTTCTTACAATAATATTTTAAGCTGTTTCTCTCGTTAACACATTTGAAAAACATGTAATACATGTAGTCACTAAAAATTTTGTCAGAAAGTGTGAATAACCTTTGAAAATCAATATTTTATCAATGGTAAATGTGATTTGTAGTAAACCATTTTTAATGTATGGGACCTCCGACCCCATGGTTTATGGGATCGAAATATTGTTACATAAACAAGTCAATTTTACATGAAAAAAAGTTAAAATTATCAGTTACTTTTTGGTATGCCATTACAGTGTAATTTTAGTATATTTTATAAAATGAAAAATATGAAACAGGTGCGCAAAATATGATCTGAGTTGTCATTTTATTTTGACATAATTATGATAGAGATGAAAGTTGGAACCACAAACAGTGTAGATCTCCAAATTGTTTTGATACACACCTTTCGGTCCTTCGATGGACGTTTGAGATAACATTTTCATTCAGATAATATTCCACGAGGCATTTAATGTGACAGCCGAAATAAATCAAACACTACTAGTTAGCCGATAAAAGGAATATAGTTCAAGTAAGACATTTTCAGTCTGTTTTCCTTAATTTTCATGGAAGATATCCACAACATTATTATCATGTTTTCAAACGAGGAAACATGCTCCACTCCAAGGGAAAATAAATCGGAAATAAAAAGCAAAAATTGGTGATTTACAACAATGAATATAGACATATCTCTCCAGGAACAGTAAGAGCAAGAGTAAAACGAAAGCTGCATTTAATTGTTGCGAAGATTGAACTTTCTTATTTAATTTTCATTTTTTACTGCATACTTCTGAAGATATTTGTTGCTTGCTAATCTGAATGCGGTAAGCCTTTTAAAGCTTGACAAATCGACAAAATTATCTGACATAGTCAAGCTTTTCTAATTATCTACATGTAACAAGTCGACATATCATTTGACAGGTCCACATTATGATAGCTTATTACAAGTCCACATCATTAACTGACAGGTAGCATAGCATTTGACAGGTCAGACAACGACTTGCCAGATGAATGTGTCAGCTTGTCAGATAATTATGTTGATATCCAGAAAAATAATATGCAGAATTTTCAGAAAATCATCTCTTCATGTCAGTCAAATTTGTCGACTTGTTAGATAATTATACTTGTATTTAATATACCTACTTGTCAGATGTTTTGGTGATAAGTAGATGTCCGATTTAGCATAAACTTGCTTGAGTGCCTAGTCCGAATTATTTTCATGTGACACAGTCGAAATTATTTTTGCGCTAAAATAAAATTTTAACAAGTAGAGATAAACATTGAGAAGTCGACATTTAAATAAGCATCTGAAAATTTGAAATTTGCTGTCAGAGACTGCCTAAAATGATTTTGCAAAGTTGACAATAAAAATGTTGAAATCATCAATCTCAAGCGTATGAGTTTATAAATTTTTTTTATAAATCTGCAAAATCAGGAAGAAATCGTGATGAATGAAGTGCCATTTACATGTATTTCCTCTTTTTTTTTTATATCAGATATTTTTCACGATATGACATCACCAATATGTGAGTAATTAACTTTATCAATTTTTAGTATTCAATTTTTAGAATCAAATTTGAATCCTTTTTACATTCATATAGTTTCTTATATTTTTGACTTTTAGTTTTCCTTTGTTTCGTTTCCATATTTGGTAAGTTGTGTATAACTTTATATTTTTTGCCGACATTAAATTCACATCCTTTGCAATTTTGAAAAGAGACACATACACGACACTATTAACAATTATTATACCCCCCGCTTGAAAAGTGGGAGGGTATACTGTAATCGGTAAGTCCGTCAGTCCGTCTTTCTGTACGTCCGTCCGTCCGTCTGTCTGTTACGCTTTGGGGTACCTATCTCTTATCCGCAACTCCTCTTATACCACTGAGTGAAATTTGATGAAATTTTCACAGAATCTTTATTACATATTGCCATTGTGCACCTCCTATTTTACTGTACGACCCGACACATATTTTGGGTTTCCCAGCCACAGCAAAACATGGACTTTGCCATTATAGCCATATAGAAGGCGGGGGGGTGGGGTATCATTTAGTGAGCTCATTGCTCACATTACCTCTAGTTTTTACAATAGGATCACTCTACGCTAAAACATGTACGCATTGTATTGGAGCAACAGATATATCAGAATGTACGAAACGTGCCGTTTGTGGTGTTAACGAGGTAAGATTTATAGAGTTGGGACTAAATAATTACATGAAGCATTATTTTACTTCTATCTCACTTCTTAAAGCTTGATTTTCTTTTCAATGCATATCCCTTGATATAAGCAGTGAAATTATGTCATAATTGAAAAATATATTTTTGTTTATCTTATTTAGGATTGTTATTTGGATAAATACCTGGGGGTCGATATGATTACAAGATATGATGCAGGCTGTCGTTCGAAACAGGTTTGTACATGAATTGCTGTCCTTTTAGAGTCATGAATATATGTATCTCTGTACGCACTTGTGCACTTCCAGTTCAAAACAATTAAAAACAAATGGTAATGGTAATTTTGGAGTTTAGTTTTATGTGTTCAGTAAATGATAAGCTAGCCTGTTTCAGACCTCTCTTAAGTATGAGACTATCGTTGTAGGTGTGTGGTGGTAGTCATGCTAGGAGAAGACGACAACTAGTTATCTGTACCGATTGTTGCTCTGATGCTCCGGACATTTATGGTCCATGTAATTCTAAACTGTGTGGTCTTAGTAAGTATAACGAACATGTAGATATTAGTAGTGATTAAGTGATTAAGTGATGTTCCCCTTATGAAACACAAAAAGTGTTGGTATGAAATTGTGCAACAAGAACCCATATTTCCTGTAAATAGTTTTTTTTCGTTTTACCGGGGGGGAGGGATTTTTTTTGCGTATTTAACACAAGATTAATTTTACCATAATGTAACCATAATGTAACTTTGTCCTCAGCTCTCTTTGTTTTCCCAAATAAGTACTGTTTTATGAAAATTAATTTATATAAACATCTCTGATAAAACCTATTGAAATACGTTAAGTTTTAGAAATTGACTTGGAGGTAGGCGAGAGAACAATACGAACGTTGCATTTCTAAGTACCTTACACAAGAGACGGAATAATTTTATTTTTGCCATTGTGGTTATATCATAAAGTTTAAAGATTTCCAGTTTAATTTAATCAAGTTCAGTTGAATATGTCAGAGACATATTGCACATATCTTGTTAAAATATAAGATAAAAAAGAACATGAAGAAGGAGACAGCCTTATTCATTTCCATTGAAATAGATTCTTGATGACCTGCATTTTGTTTTTAAAATTGCTTTCTCATGAATATATGAAATAGGTCTAATCTTGGATGACAAATTTTGTGTCAGAATGGACAGGATGTCGGTTTTGACAGTGTATAACACATGAAAAATAGTGAAATGTTAAAGAAATTGAACGTCGGTATTCACAGTATAAAGGATTGAACTACTGTCAGATTAGACGGTTTACACTGTATAAAAATTAATTATTTTGTTATTTTATAACTTTATTTTTAAATATCCCAACATGTCATGTCTCACTAAGAAGAAAGATGCAAAAGTTTTGACAGTGTTACAATACCCACAAAGATAGGAATTTAAAGGTTGATTGCACATAAGAACCTGTAAAAATTGCGACAAAATAAACTTTTAAAACAATGTTTTTTCATTAAATTGCAGACATGGTCAACATAGTCTAAACTTTACATAATTACATGAAATGAAAGTACTAGTATTTATTAACGAGGTAAGAAGCTATGATTAAAAGCGGGGATCATCACAACTAACATCACAATTTCTTCATTTTCTGTGCGATAATGAGGATGCCCACTTTTTCATTGACTTCACACATAGTTAGCGCATGTTTGTCTTTTGTTCTCCGATTTCATGTAACAATAGTTGTATATTTGCATTAATAATCTTGTATCAAAAGGAGATTAACAAACAATGATGCGCTCATGGTTTAAAAGAGGAAAAACTGCTTCTTCTAACATTCGCTCTCTCTCTTGTAATCAAGGGTTGTGGCACAGGGGCATCTGATCCAATCTGTTCTCTACTTCACATATACAAAAAATACACATGTGATGTAGAAAACAGAGTGTATAAGATGCCCCTGTGGTTGTGGCATGCTTAATATCATAATTTACAATGTGATTTCTTACCTCAGTTAACTTTGTTAACTTTGTGAATACTACGCCACGTGACGTGTAACGTAGCATGTTTTGCGCTAATTAAAATATGGATATAACGAACAGTATTTAAGCTCAACGTCCATCTAACAATACAAAATTGAAGCAGAGCAAATACGGACATCTAATAAATCAAAGTTGGGATCAGGTGCCATTGAGGATTGAGCATCCCCTGCCAATCGGTCACACCCGCCGTGTGCTCATTGTCATGTTCGAAAAAAAAAACTCGAAAAAATCCGACGACAACTCAGTCTGTAATTATAAATAATAGTCTTTTATTTATCAGTATGACTTTAAAAAGTGTATTTGCTGACAAGATCATTATAAAGGTCATGGAATGACCCTTTCAAGGCCAGTTTAACTGAATTTTCATTTTGTTACAGTTCATATTTTTGCTTCATCAATTTGTTTGTAAATAACCTACATCGTTTTAGAAGTTTTTCGTATGTAGAACATCGAATCAATTGAGAGATATATACTTCGTATGAAGGTGACAAAGGTACTTGCTGCATGAGTAAGGGAAGTTGACGATTGAAAAATCATGTTTATCATAAAGATTTGTTGTTAGGTACATGTAACCAATAGCATCTAGAAAAATATCCAAAATGTGAAACAGATGTGTGAAACATTCTGTGGTATATTTTATTTCAAGCTTACTGGGATATGTTTTTTTCGACATAAAAATCGAAATTAGTATGTTAATTGAAAATACGTCGTCGATAATTCTCAATGTCGAATTGAACACCTATGGTGGTGTTTTCTTTTAACGTAAAGGATTTTAAACAAATTCTGTTTCAAATGATTACAAAAATAGATCTGCTAATTAGGGGGCACAATTGCTACCCATTGGAATTCGAATACCCGGTATATTGTTCGAAGATCTGGTACCCAAAAGCCACATAAATATTGTCAATCAGAAACTCGAGCGTCTTTTTATATCAACTTTAGAGTACTTGTGTGTACAATGAGATTGTTATTTTAACAAAGTAATTTTGCAAATGACCAATTACAAGGTAAGTAAACAGACGAGTTCCATTTTTATTTAACAAGCAACTATCAATGGTGTCAAAAAGCCTATAGCTAGTCCTTGAATTTTTCGTGTGATTACTTGTATATATGTAATGTCAAAAAGTCGTAAGTTTGTCAGGCATCGACAAATATGCTTTACTTAAATGGACGTGCTTATACTGTTAATTTAGATTTGAATCTTTTGTTAATAGTGTACTTGTGCTATTAATAAAAGAGTGATGGGAAAGCGTAATCTCGTGCTTTTATAGATGACATTATTGTTTATGTAGTCTAATATTCTTACGATGTTAGCTCCACCTCTAAGCATACATAATGTTTAACCGAGAGCTGAAAAGTTTAAATTCTCTATACATGTATTTGGAATGTAGTAAGGACAAAAAACATGGAATTATTTTATCATATCACAGTCAAGAGTCATTTTAACATTCGGTGTAAAATTGACATAATTCTTGAATTACATGTAGTAAACGCTCAAAAGTGAAATAATGTTTAGATATAAAAGCAACAAAAGCAACGGGAAAAGACCCACAAACCCAGCGTTTTGTTCAGTTTATTAGACAGTGGTATTGTCATTTATGAATAATACAATGAATAAAACTGCATGTTAAAAATTTACAATGACCATATTAGAAATTTGAAACGTTCCACTCTTGTCTAATATAATTATTTAGAGCAAAAGATATTACCATCAAATATTGAAAATAGAAAAAATGTTAACTTTGTAGTAAGGTTGACATGACTTTCCTTCATTCAAACTGATTTGTTATATATTATAAATATATATTGATAAATATGCTCAACATCTGACAGATGAAACATTTGCAGTGAGACCTGGGCAATAACAGTGCTTTAATATTTGGGAATATCTCCAGTCTGTCCTTTTGAATGACATTTTTCTTCGATGAAGGTTCCTTAATTCGCAAAATCATACAATAATATTAAGTAATTCAGTATTTGTACAATGGTACTTGGTTTACTAGAAATATAATTTTTCAGATTGAATAGGGGAGCAACGAAATATTTCCAGTTAACTGTTGTGGGGATGACTGGGCACAATCAAAAAAAAATTCCTTGATGAACAAGAAAACCAGCAAAGCAATAATTTTTCTAAAAAAAAAAATCTATATAGGGACACAATATAAAGTACTGTAGGCATGTTTTCTATAGTTTACTATATTATAAGAAGTTTCTAAGTAATGTGCTGACTTTGCATAATATCCGATGGATTAAATAAATAAGGCGATAAAATGTACTGTGAAATCACATATTTCGTGTTTGTCTAATTTTCGTTGTTTATGAAGAGAGACCCACAAATTTATGACCACCACAAAACATAAAATTTAAAATTCACTGAACACTTCGTCAACCATGAAATACTGTAAACGTATTACATTTAGCGGTGTATTCTAATGAGCGATTTTGGCGGTAAGCAGAGTCCGCTAAATCAAGTACATCGCTAAATGCATTGTAAATCATACAGGTATATCTAGCACATTCAGATAACGCTATATCAAATCTACGCTAACTGGTTGAAGATTTAATTTCCGCCAAATATCGTACACGCCAATTATAATACATTTACAGGACCAACATGTCAATCATATTTTACTCAAGCCTTTAAAATCGCCCCCCCCCCCCCCAAGAAAATCTGTAATTTTACAGTATTTTATTTTATCTTAGCTCCTACAAGGGAGAACTATGGTTGTATTGTCTGTCAAGGAGTACACAGTAGCGTTGGTGCTTGTTCTTCCGTTGCTCTCTGTCCTCCCAATGAGGTAAGTCTAGAAAGTTTATAAGCTTAAGATATCATGTCTAGAAAGTTTATAAGTGGAATGACGGAAACTCAAATAGAAGCGGGTCGATTTACTTTTGAATCATTTATAACCATATAACCATTTATTTTTGGTTTAAAACAAGAAAAACCCTACTCTTTCGTTAGCATAGTAATTAGTCTAGAATGTCTAGTATGTAATAAAAAATAAACAAGGCAGGGCAGGCGCGGATCCAGAAATTTTTTCCAGTCAAAAAAAAAAATCCAATCCCAGAAATTTCTTGACAAGCAAATAAAAAAAAAGGGGGGTTTCCATGGTAATTTTTTTCTTGTTTTAGTATATACATTTTTTAACCTGGTAAATTCCAGGGGGGGGGGGGGGGGGGTCCTGACCCCCCCCCCCCTTCTAGATCTGTGCATTCAGGGATAATAATTTCGAAGAAGTCCGGGAAAGAAGGACCATTATATATAATCTTTTTTCATCAATACCTGAAAAATAAAATAATAAAATATGAGTGGAAAAACTACACATACAGGTAAATCCTACTTATATCATTATAATACAAACAGTAATGTTAATTCCGATAGATTTAAATTATCATTACAGGTTTGTTTTACTGGAATCCGCATTGTTGGCACGGCTATTCGATATGTTTTTGGTTGCTATGATGAACGTGTAAGTTGGTTATTTTGTAATGCTTGATATTAAAAAAAAATACCATTGCTACGGAAGCGGTTACGTGAAACATGGATATAACGAACAGTATTCAAGATCAAAAGTTCATAAAAAAAAATACACAACAGGAGCAGAGCAAACACGGACCTCCAAAACATCAGAGGTGGGATCAGGTGCCATGGATGAGTGAACTTTCCCTGCCGACCGATCACACCCGCCATGTGGTCCTTGTCATGATCGGGAAATAACGGAAAAATCTGTCGTCAATAAGTGTGTAAATAATGGACTAATAATAAGTATGAAAAACGTCAGGCAGCATTTGACTCAATGATAAATTATATTTGCTGACAAGGTCATTGTATCGACCATAGAACTTATGAAATGATGACTTTAAATGAGACCGTATATATTCTTGTTTCATCAACGTGTTTTTCAATAATATACCTCGTTTTAGAAATTGTTCATACATGGAGCATGCTCTTGCATATCGAATCAACTGTGATACATTAACTCCGTTTGAAGTTGATGAAGGTATATTGCTGCATAAGTAAGGAAAGTTGACGATAGAAAAGTTAAAGTCATCACATTTATCATATATATATAGCTTGGTTGTTAGATTATCATTAACGTCTTTTTCAAGTAAAATATCCAAGTATGAAACAGATGTGTCAGACTCTGTGGTATCTTGTATCTCAAGTTCACCAGCATATATCGTATCGACATAGGAATGGAAACTACAATTGTTAATTGACAATACGTCGTCGATATATGTAAATGTAGAGCTGAAGGCCACAGCAAGTGTTTTCTTCTTTTCATGCATAAGATTTTGTACAAATTCTGCTTCATATGAATACAAAAACAGGTCTGCTAATAACGGGATGCAGTTATTACCCATGAGAATTCCAACAGATTGTTGGAAGACCTTGTCTCCAAAACAACATAGATATTGCCAATAAGAAACCCAAGCATCTTTTTGATGTCGACTTCAGAGAATTACACATTATTTTTTTGTTGTAAATTTCACACTTGTAATTTTTTTTGTAAAATTAAATTTCATTTTCATTTTGCACTTAAATCCTTTATCTGTAAATTATACACGTTCAAAAGTATATAATACACTTTAATGCCTGATTTTGACTTCAGAGTATTACACATTATGCTGTTACTTTCATTTTTTTTAAATTTCATTTTCCATAATCTGTAAATTTCACACTTTGATCTGTAACTTTTACATATTTATCTCTAAAATGTACAATTAAATCTGTAATTCATGTCCTCAGGGTCAGGGTTTCTGATGCTAGGATTGGCCTTTGTTGAATATATAGTAAAAATGCATTATTTCACTTAAAAATCCTCTTCTTTGCCTATGAAACTAGACGCAGAGTCATGATGTGCAAACTGCCTCTTTCAAAATTGTAGATTTTATGGCCCCTGCTTCAGGCCAAGGGGTTCTGGTTTTAAGGCGGGACGCTATTGATTATACATGTATAATGAAAATGCATTTCTTTTCCGAAAAGTGGAATGTTCATGGGTAACTAAACCAATGATCTAGGTACATAGTTACTATTGGATCTGGGTCAGGGTTCTGGTGTTTTTGCGGGGCTCTAATGGTTATACAGCTGCAGTATAGTGAAAATACATTTTTTCCTCGAAAATCTTCTCTGTTCCTTGGTTATTAAGGAGGACCGATCTATTTGATCTGCGCATGCGTTTTAACGCAACGTCGACTCAGTTACATCACAGTACCCTTGACTGCCGTCACAACTGACTACAATAACGTCACAATTCAAATGATGACGTCAGTGTAACTATTAGATAAACTATTTTGATATGAACATTTGACATCCAAAATCCCGTTAATTCAGGTATTTGTTGGGACACTATTGTTCCATAAAATATGGAATTTTTACCTAATTCTGGATGTTCTGTGAAATTTTATTGTAAACTTTACATGGAGTATCGAAACAAACATTGCCTTGAAAATGACGTCAAAAGGGGGGAGGGGTTTCATTTTTCAACACTCTATAAAGTATTGCCCCTGGAAAAACTGGTATACACCTAGGAAATGTTTAAACTGGCCACAGAGAAATAATATGCATCCAGATTTCTTGTTTTTTAATGCCAAAATAGATTCAGAGAGAAAAGGGATGCAAAGTTAATGTTGATTTGTAGTCAAGGTTTGAAAAGTCTATTACGTCAAATAATGACGTTGATCATGTATTTTAGCTATATTAAATTTCAAAAAAACAAAATATGCTGGCAAAATCAAGCGAGGATCTCTCGCAATGTATAAATCCATTTGCAATAATATATGTATTTAAAGCTTCTTGAAGACAAGACGGGTTGAAGTACTTACTCAGCTCTAGGGAATCTCATCAAAATAAGTGTACGAGGTAGAAGACGCGGGTATTGAAAAGTAATGACGTTGTCGGACATCATGAAACAAAGCGGCGACGGCGCCGGGTGATCATATAATGTCGTTTTTATTTTATAATAATTTGGGAAATAAAGAACGTATCAAGCTAAAATTATCAACATTTCTTTATTTTTTGTTGTTTTATATTTCTTATAACTTTTATAAGCCCAGACATCATAGTACTAATTCTATAGCCTCAGTCCACGAACTTTTTGATAACCCCTCATATATTTCCAAGAACTAATTTTTTTTTCATTCCGTTTTCGTAATTTCAAACTAGATCGTTAAGCCGATAATCTGGATACATAGTAATGTTGAGCAAGCATGTATCTTCTAAAATTCTGAATTTTTACGCCCCTAGATTAAGGGTTCTGGTGTTAGGTTGAGGCTGTATTTTGAGATTAATAAACGAAAAACATCAAATTGGGAATTAAAGAATTCAGTTTAGAAATGTGCAAAAGCACACCAACTCACCAGTACTAGTTTTTAAATTTTGACACATCTCTTTCATGTTTAAATATTTGACTTGAAAAAGACATGAAAGGTAATCATACAACCAAGCTTCATGACAAACAAAATGATTTAACTTCTCAATCGTCAACTTCCATTACTTATGCAGCAATATACATGTACCCATCGTCATCTAGATACGGGGTTTATATCTTTCACTTGATTCGATACGCAAGAGTCTGCTCTACGTTTTAAAAATATTTATAACGAGGTAAGTTATTGACACACAAGTTGGTGAAACAAGAATATAAACAGTCTCTTTTAAAGTCATCATTAATTTTCGTAAGTATGATCGAATCAATGACCTTAATAACAAATACAATTGATCATGTAGTCAAATACTGACTGACGTTTTTCATACTATTTGTTACGCAATTATATATACTGAATTAATTGTCGACGAATTTTCCCTTAATTTCCAGTTTTCAGATCACGACAAAGAGAGCATGGCAAGGTCCGCAGGGATGCTCACTCCCCCTTGGCACCTAATCTCACCTCTGATGTTTTGGAGTGTCTTTGTTTGGTGTCTCTCCCCTATTCTACAGCGCGCGGCGAAATGGTTAGGGCATCTGCTCTGGAGTCGCGAAGGAAGGAGTTGAATCTTACTGTGGGACATGGAGACCGGTCCTCTGGATGGAACTATAAACCGAGGCCCTGTGTAATTAGTAGGTATTGGCACGAAGAAAAAAACCTTTCCTGCTCAATGACCCCGAATGCTGAGAATAGGCCAAATTTTTTAGCTCTCCACCTGCAAGTGGTGGCGTCTCCACATGAGTGAAGAATTCTCGAGAGGGATTTTAAACAACATACAATCAATTCTATTCTACATTGTTTAATGGAAATTTTGGCTCAAATACTCTTTGTTACCTCCATATATTTCATTTTGCGCTCAATGAACAAATTAAACAATTCCAAATAAAACCGAAACATTAACAAAGCTCGGGTCGATGTTTAGAAACACAACTGATGTTTTTTGTTATGCATTAAAGAATGTTGTTGTTGACTTTAAGAAATTTAAAGCTTATTTGATTCATATTATTGAATTTTTTTTCAAACCTAAAAATGAAGAATTATCAAAAAAAAAAAAATTATCTGTCTCCAGCCCTTTCTTAGTAATTTAATCTTTTTCTTTCGAATGAATTGAAAATTTTAAAGGATGAAATATAAGTTTATACTTACATTTGTAAATTTTGAAACTCAGAGATATGAAAATTAAAATATATATTTTTTTAATTTTGTGAAGGCGTGTCTTGCCATGGTAGAAAATGAGATGGCACATTCGACCATTCACGGAAGACGTGGAAGAGTTATTTATGGTGATATAGGAACGCGAATATGTGATGCTTGTTGTAAGGGAGACAGGTGTAATGCTGCTGACTGTTTTGACCTCAGGAAAAGTAGGTGTCACAAGTTTGAAAAAAAAAAATATTGGTTACCGTCTTCTTTAATTGTTGATGCCTCACAACAAAGATGAAGAGAATGTAAATGGGGGTTAGTGGATGAGTGCATGGATGAGCATGTATACTTAGAATTGGAATGGGTGGCTTTTTCCGCCTTGTTTATTGAATATCTGTTGTTATTTTAAGTTTGTTTTGGTAATTTTGCATTGAAATCATGGGAACACTAAAACAGTTCATATAAAATAAAAATAAATACTTACCTGGTTTTTTTCCCCTACAAATGTAATGCATATAAACTCGATTTAACGAGGCCCAATCTACTTGATCTGCGTATACGTTTTAACGCAGCGTCGACTCAGGCACGGCATAATACCCATGACTACCGTCACAATTGAGTACAATGACGTCACAATTAAAATGACGTCAAATTGCGCAATAATGTTTCGCTTTTAGCTCTCTGGTCTGTGCCTGTGCATGTTGAAAGCTGGTTCATTCTGTTATTTCTATTCTTTACATGTTTTTTTAAAAATATTTTTTTAAATAATAAACGACTCTTGAACATAATTTATTTTGAGGTATCAATTTCTTGGTACACATTCATTGCTTTTATCTTATTTTATTTCAGTTTGTGAGTTAGAAAAAAATTAAACAAACACTGCAACAGAAATTAAAGTAAACGATTTTTGTCTTTCTCCTTAAACATGTGGAACTGTTTATACACACCCTTTTGTATTTAGGACTTAAATATGCATGGATTAGCTCGAGTTAAAAAAAAAGTCTATGAATCATTTAAATGCAACCCCCAAAATATTTTGTTATTCTATATATTACATGATATTAGTAAAATTCGTAATTTTGACGCCTTTAACCCCTCCCCCGATCCCCCTTTTCCCATGTAAAACAACGTCTGTTAAGTAAAAATAAAGCATCGAGAGAAAATCATTTCATAATGTAAGAATTATTTAATTTTTAGAACTTAATACAGTGTTACAATCGTTTTTTTGATAAAATGTAAACTCATTGCGACCTATAAAATATCTAGTTGGATAAAATAAAACTTCTTTTTGTGTTTTGATATGCCCCCTTTTCACTACAATAAAGGCTACCTCCAATTCTCCTTTTATTTTTCAAAAGAGGAACGAAAATTGTATGATATATATGAAAAACAAAACATTTCATCATTTATTTTTTTTGATTTGTCAATTCCTTTGTTTATTTGAGAGTTTTAGAATGTAATTATGTATAAAAGCACGAAAAATGGTCCATATCTTGAAAGTGCCCCAATTTAACTCCAATAAAGGCAAGGTAACAAAATTTCATTCTAATTTTTCTTAGCATAATACATACGAATATATTTCCAAGAATTAATTTTTTTATCATTCCGTTTTCGTAATTTCAAATTAGATTGGGCCTCGTTAATTCGATTAGTAAATATTTTTGAATGGCCATCGAACAATTACATTAGACTAGAAGTATAATTTATGATTAAAAAGGTACTAGTTAAAAATAGTTATCTATATTATTCTTTCTTTCTCTTGACATTAGTGTTCTTAATTTTTTGAAAATTAATTCAATTGTATATTTGTCTTATTGTTTGACAGATATGACAGTTGCTGATTACAGTCATAGCTTGACTGCGACCACATCGGGGCCTGCCTTTGGTTGATCACATAAATCAATGTTTGTTATTTACCTAATATACTCTTAAATACCCTAATCTTACGCTTTTTTTGATTTTAACATCTTTCGCAGATCCTGTATCCCAAAATATGTCACTGGTAAGGCACATAATACTTTTCGTTACTGGTTCAAATACTGCCCACCCATACACTTATGTGAGATGACATTGATACTAATTTTCCTGTCTTACTTTCTGTCATTCAGTCATAAAATTTTAAAATTTGTAAACCAATATAAAATTTCTCTGATTTTTTTTATTCAAACTTCAAGATCAAGGTTACAGATCAATAGTCATTTGTACATTTGGATGGGTCATGTTAAAGATATGGCAAAATTGAACACACTTTTCTTTCATTCTTAATATATTTTCAATGTTTAAATTTTGGAAGAAAAGTTTTGCATTACTAAGGTGTCAATAATCAGAGCAAATTTGGAGAGAAATTGTCAATTTTAAGGTATTCAATGTATAATGACCATATTTTGTACCTGATAAATGAATGGTCCAGTATTTTTAATCAGGGTAGCATTTTGAAGATGTTATCAAATAAAAATGCTCCACCAAAGGAATTTACAAAATTATGATTATTGTCCAATTAATTTCACCTTGAATTTTACATTGAAGTCTATGGGCAGCACATGCAAATCTCTTGACAATAATATGCATAAATTCCCTCTTTATTAAAGTATGAAATAAAATGAATTATTTTCTGCAGAAATTTTGAGAAATCAAGAATTTTCCTCTATTCATCAAGGGCAGATAACTTTTTAAAAACTTTTAATGTGCAAAATCACCGTCTCCGTACATGTTTATCAGTCTTGTGAATTTGGTTCATTTCACTTGTATCGTTATCTAGCAATATGTTTTTAACTCATTTAATATTATTTAAAATCATTCAGAATCCCTTCATTATACATTGAATACATGTACGTTAAAATATATATGGAGATAACAATCAGTATTCAAGCTCAGACGTCCATTAAACAACACAAATCAGGAGCAGAGCAAACACGGACTCTCAACACGAAAGTCCAATATATACTCATCCAAAGGTTATGTCATGAATAAAAACAAGATAGCTTGTTCATAGGTTCCAACAGGTGTATGACTTGTTACGTACCTTTTACAATGAATTGTGTTTTTTGACATCGTGAAAATATGAACATAACCTGCAAGATTAAGATTAACCTATTTTTTGAAACCACATTTAATTAATATCAATAATTTATCCACATTTAATTAATGTCAATAATTCATCCACAGTTAATTAATATCAATAATTTATCCACATTTAATTAATTATATCACCTCTAGAATTTGCTACTAGTATATCACAGAACGACTGAAGTTTCTCCTTTACATTACATTGGCGCTGTAGCAAATTGGAAGGGGGGGGGGGGTAATTCAAAAAGAAAGACATTTCAAACCTGATAAAAACCTTGACAAGAAAAAAAAAAAGGAAAGGGAAAATTTGACCATTGTCCAAACCTGAAAAATCATTTTTTTTGGGGGGGGGGGGGATTAGTTCGAACTTTTTAAAATACCAATTTTTTTCCCAAAACACTACCACCTACCCTTCTTTGACTACACTGCAACGTACATGTACCTGTTGAAAGTGGAGGGGGGGGGTTTAAACCTTCGCCCCAATCTTCAATGCCATTATTTCATCTCATACGTGTTGGTGATACAGCCCATTAGATAAACTTTTGCTTTATCCACGGGTAGATGCTTTATCAATACCACTTCCGGTTTTGACACGATCCCTTGTTTTAAGATTTCATTCTATAGAAATTGTTATTTGTGAAAATTATTGACCTGATAAAATGAACGATAAAAAGCAAATGATATCGTTTAAAGCAAGAAGAAGACTCGTATATGTCAAAAAAGTGTCTTATTTTATTAAGGAACCTGTATTGGCTACTTGAAGACGGATGTTACCCCCCCCTCCCCCCTTTAAATCGTTTTCGGAGAAATATTAAGTAAAGCACAGCAGTTAAGTTGTTGTTATAAGATTTCTTTAACATCTTCAATAATGCTTTCTTATAGTATACTACGTATGCCTACCTAGTAATGTAGGTGCAACTTACCATGGATCAACAATTAATCTACAAGTAGGCCCCTAGCCTTGCCTACATGTAACACGTTTTGTACTGCAATCGTCCTAAGAGTTCTTTTTCACGATCCCATGGTCCTTACAACTTTCAGTCAGTTGTTCGTTTGATGTAAAGCTCCAGCAATTGTCACATAATGTTTTCAAAGACGCAGATAGCAAAAATTCTAAATTTTGAACACGATATACTTTCTTTCTAGGCATGTCAACATCAACGGTGCTACGTCATTAAGTTATACGTCATCAATTTGAATTAGCAATAATTCATGTAGTTTTGCAGGAGAAGTATCAAAGTTTTGTTAAAACAAAATTCGTGTGTGATAAATAGAACATCTATAATTGTGTGATTTGATATTGGCCAACGAGTTGAAATGGTGTATATCCGCTTGGCAAGCCTCGCGAATATATACACCATTTCAACTCGTTGGATAAAGCCAATATCAGATCACACAATATAGATATCCTCTATATATCTATCATTGCAAAAAAGTTGTGGAGACTATATATGCTCCCTCCCCCGAGCCCACTCCCCCACTCCCACCCGACGCCTATGCATCAACTAAGTTGTAACTAAGTAAAAATTAAAGATAGGGACTTGTAAAGGATTACATGTAACTGAACCCAGCAATATACTTTCGTATGAAGCTTGACATCGAATTCAGTGTAAGAAGAACACAACTTCTCAACATTTACTGGGATGAATAAAGTAAAACCCTAAATGCGATTTGAAGACTTTCTTCCTTAAAAATTGAACTTGACTTAATGCTCCTTGGACGTAGATTTGAAGTTCTAAAAATACGGTTATACTGAAAATAATATTGTTAAAAGCCTTGTTTGCTGGAAAACTATACAATCGTACTCATTTAATTTTTTTAACCTCTAATGTATTGAAAACAATAGGATAAAAGGCATTTCAAACGATGCAAAAATTGATCTTTTCCATTTGTAATATCAATTTTCCATTTGTAATGTACAATTTTTCATTTGTATTGAATAGTTTTTCTTTTGTATTGTATATTTTTTATTTGTATTCTCTAAGTTTCTATTTATATTCTTTAATTTTCCATTTGAATTATATGTATAATTTTTTTTATCTCTGTTCTATACATACAAATATAAATGGAAAACTTTACAATGCAAATGGAAAATTATAGAATACAAATAAAAGTTACTAGTATAAAGTACAAATGGAAAAGATTGAATATTGCAACGAATGACATGTCATATAAATAAAAGATTTGCATGTTGTCTTTTACTCCATACGGTTTTTGAATGTACATGTCAAATACCTGATCGATTCTTATAAAGGTGTCAACTGAGAGATCTGAGATTTCAGTAGTGTAGAACTGTAGCTCTCTGCTTGAGAAAATTCGGACAGATCTCAGCTTCATATGTCCGAATTTTCTCTACCAGAGAACTACAGTTCTGTAGCTAAGACTTAAGTAATTAAAACCTTAAACAAACACTGAATCAACGATGGATATTCGTTATTTCCCGATCATGACAAGAAGCATATGGCAGGTCCGTCAGGTCGACAGTTGATGCTCACTCCTCAAAGGCAACCGATCCCACCTCTGATGTTTTTAAGGTTCGTGTTTGCTCTGCTTCTATTTTGTAATTGCCTATTAGCTTGAGTACTGTTTGTTATCTTAGTATATGTTTTTCATTATAGCTTTCAGATCTTTATGTTCACGTGTTTTAACATCAGGGATGACGTGACGAACAGAAGTGTAGTTTAAAGAAGAATAAAGAGGATTTGATTTAGATATTCAATATATATGCACGTTACGGTATGTTTAAAATGAAAAATGTAAGAATTAACAGTTTAAAAAATAACTCTTGTAAATGAACGATCTAGACCAATTTGGGAATGCAAAACAAAATTGAGATTGATTGATTGTATATTGTTTAACGTCCCTCGAGAGAATTTTTCACTCATATGGAGACGCCACCACTTGCCGGTGGAGAGCTTCAAATTTTGTCCTGTACTCGGCACTAAGAGCCATTGAGAGTGAGGGATCTTTTCGTGCCAGCAGCTACTGCGACACGGGATCTCATTTTATACATGTACGGTCTCATCCGAAGGACTGGTATCCATGTTCCACAGTGGAATTGGAACCCGTGACGTAAGGATCAACTCCTTACTTTGCGACTCTAGAGCAGACGCTCTTACTACTGCGTCACGTGGGAGGCCGAAACAAATCGTGGATTTCAAAACTGATCATTTTTAAGATCAAGAATTTTACTTTAATGTTCCAAGAATTTATTAATCCCTGAGTTAGTAATTTTTAGTTTAAGAAACCGAGGGGTTGAGTCAGAATCATCTATTTTTCCGATATAAATATGATCTTGGAAAGCCCGTGCTGGACAAAATTTATAATTACAAACTCCGTAGCTTCTATTCTGTAGAACGTATTACTATGGACTTTTTTAAGCTCCTTTAAACAGTGTATTTAAAAGAAAATTAAAGTTTAGCTCAAAATTTTCCAAAATTTTATAGAGCGGAGATATTTTTTCTGGATGGTATATTGTAAAATAATGTGCTACAAATCGATAGCTAAAATTCATAAAGAGGTAGGAGATTTGATTTCATATGATTTCATTTATCTAGATGTAAATACACATACACATTAAAAAATACCTGTGTTCATTTCTGTAATAAAAAAATAAATTAATCCTTTTTATTACAAATTTTATTACAACTAGTGTCTTCTACAACAGTTAATGAAACCACTTCCTGATACGACTTTATAGATATAATCATGTATCATTTACGAGGGTTGTCCCAGGAAATATTTCAAAAACTATCGGACCAAAATTATTCAATTTTGGCACAGTGTTGGAAAATGATATTTTCGTTATTTTGGTTAAATAATTTGTTAAATAATAAAAGGTTGTGATCTAATATGCATTTATATTTACATCCACTGAATATTTTCTCCTTTATTTCTTAAAGTAGGCAGGTCGCCTGTACAGATTTCTGAATCAGTGGCTGTTCCATCAATGAAACGTATAAAGACGTTCGCAATTAATACAATAATTAATCTTTTTAATCCCACTTTAATTGATTATTTAAACAATATAAATATAAACAATAAAATGTTTCTTTGCATTGACAATTGATTTACATAACCCGTTACGCGGGTTATGTTTTTTTCTGCATTATCCGAACAACAAACAAAGAAAGCATTTTATTGTTTACAACATTTAAACGGTGTTAAATATAATGTTAAATTCTTGAAAATTTTGCAATAATGAAGTTTTCCTTAGAAATATAATGTTATTAAAATTAAATCCTTAGAAACTGTATAATCTAGAGTTCTTGTGTGGAAAAAATAAATACTCTTGATTTGATCATAACATCATAAATAAGAAACATATGACGTTATATGCACTAACACTATTAGATATTGTCAAAAACGGCGACGTCGGGTAATAATGCGACACACCAAATTATCATAATGATTCAGTGTTATGTGAAGCGGGGGGTATGGCCCCTGTTCATACTAGAAAGGACTAGGGAACGACACAATAGATGTATCGAAAACTGGTTTGTAAAAGAGTTTCAAAGAAGCCTTTAGTAGACCTACAAATAATGACAACTAAAAGATGTAGAGCTGGACGTCATAAGTGGAGATCGCCGCTAACTATGCGAGCAGTTAGATTTATGATTGGAAAATTGTTTATTAAAAGAATTAATTCCTTGATTTATTTTGAACTGTAACATTTGTGAAATGGATAACTCGATAACTGAAAGAAAATCAAATGCTGCATCGAATTTATGCTTCGAACAATTTTTTAAATTTGTTTTCCTGAACAAATTCAAAAACTCCACGAGTGACGTTTTGAAGTCGTCGGTCTTGCACCTACTGCTTTTTTGAATGATTCATTGGTCAGAGAAAAAAAAAAATTATTATTGAAATTTCTGTGAATTATGTAACAAATGTTGATTATGATGTATACTAATTTTAAGCTTTATGATATTAGTGAAACAAACAATGTTGAAAATGTTCATGTTTTTCTGGGACAACCCTCGTATTAGTCAGGAAAATGTCTTTCCTTGTACAGTATATGATTTCCTTTCCAGGACAGAAAAAATAGTATTATTCCTTTAGTGCAAGTCACTTTGAAACATTGACTGAAAGAGAATGATGCACATTCTATTGACCCTATTGATAATTGTCCTATATTTTGGTAAAGGATAAAACTTTGAAAAATAATTTGTTTATTTCCACTTGAATTTGCAATGTTATATTTTAGCGTATTTTTTAGAATATGGATTGGAATCATATATTCACATGGAAATAATTAACACAAACAAAGGACAGTTTACCTCACCTGGATACCCCGGAAACTACCCAAACAATGCAAACTATACTTGGATAATAAGGACTGGGCACACTGCAGCTAATATAAAATTTAGAACTCATGACATGGCTATTAAGCACACATATGCCTGTGACGACTATCTCGAGGTAAAATTCACCTTTTATTTAATTTTTATCTGAAATTGATTACTCAAAAGTGGCATACCTGTAATAAAAATGATTAAAAATAAGAATGATATAATAGATATAACAATTACGTTTAAAATTTTCCTTCCTTCCCTCTCTTTATCTCTCTTTGGAATTTTTATGTGTTGTTTATTAAAATCCCATATTTCTTACTTGTTCCTTTGCAGATTAAAAGGGTCGAGCCATGCTGCTTGAATGCATTTAATAGATGTGGTGAATTAAATAATTTTGACGTTAACATAAGAGGGAATGAAATAAGAGTATCATTTATTTCGGACATAATTCTGAATGCAAAAGGATTTAATCTTTCTTGGACAGGTAAAATTCTTAACGTACCATGTGTGTACATGTAACATTGACTTTTTTTCAGACACTTGATCATTTTTCATTTCTTTTAGTCACTTTACCACCAACTACACACCCAGAAGGTACAAAGATTACGACAATTGCCCCTGTAAAGACGTCAGTAAGAGTATATCACTCTAAATCAACAAAATTGACAACTACTACTACATCAAGAACTGCTTCATCAGCACAAGATTTGACAATCATTTTCAAAGCAATAAAAGTTTTGTCAACAACTCCAAGAACTTCTACAACAACAACTTCAACAACAACAAATAATTATGACAATCACAACAAATTTGACAACATCCCTAACAGAAGCAAAAATGAAAACATATGATATGTCAACAATAAGGCCAACTCTGTCACAGAGACATTTGTCAGCAACATTTATGTCAGGAAGCTCAAAACTACCAGGTAAGAACGTTAAAATAGAGCAACATTTCTATTTAAGAAAAATAAACCTCACCAAATGTGTAAAAAGGAATATATATAAAATATATAATAAAACATATGGAGATAACGCACAGTATTCAAGATCAAAAGACCATGAAACAATGCAAATAGGAGCAGAGCAAGCACGGACCTCCAAAACGTCAGAGGTGGGATCAGGTGCCATAGAGGAGTAAGCATCCCCTGCCAACCGGTCACACCCGCCGTGTGCTCCTTATCATGATCGGGTTATAATGAAAAATTCGTCGTCAATGCAGTGTATAAATAAAGGACTAGAAATAAGTATTAAAAACGTCAGTCAGCATTTGACTCAATGATAAATTGTATTTGCTGACAAGGTCTTTGTATCGACGAAAGAACTTACGAAATGGTGACTTCAACGAGACTGTTGATATTTTTGTTTCATCAATTTGTTTGTCAACAATTTACCTTGTTGTAGATTTTTTTTCATTTGTAGAGCATGCTCTTGCTTATCGAATCAAAGTTCAGAAATATAAACTCCGTATGAAGGTATAATAAAGTTATATTGCTGCACAGATAAGGGAATTTGACGATTGAAAAATTAAAGTCATCATGTTTGTCATAGAGCTTGGAAATAATAGAATTATGCATTGTATTAAATTTTGATTTATTGACCTTCTTTTCGGAATTAAGAATAACTCAACAGGGCATATCAAGAAAATGTTCATTGGAAATGAAAACCAATCCTTTAAATTTGAAAGAAGTTAATGAAATAAATATTTGGGGAAAATTTAAACAAGGATTAACTTTCATTACAGAAAGCCCATTATATAAATAAGGCAAAGGCCCATTGATTGGAGCCCACTTGTTAAAAAGAAAGAAAGAGATACATATTAAAAAAATTAAAAAAAGCGTCAATAAATTATAATAAACCTAAACCCAGGAAATATTCATTATGAATAAAACAAAATTTAAAATACTAGTATATTCAAAACATAGAGAAAATAAATAAATCAATATAACCATATTTCAATGAAGGGAGGATATTGTATGAGTAATCCTATGCAACTATTATAACAGGCCAAAGTAAGTAGGAACAAAAGATATTTTCAAAACTCTTCCTGAAACTGGTATAAATTTAACACCAGAATTCGGAACTAACATAAGGGTGTAATCATGCACACCTATTTACAATGATGATTTAGACAAATGTAAAAAAAAAAAAAAAAAACTCTTCGAAGTATATTATGGAGAGCGAAACATGAAATGATTAACAAGGCAATTTCCGGCATAGAAATGTATCGACCTGGTGCGCATTCCTCCACCTATCACATGCGAGGTTTGAATGGGGCGTAGCGGAGGATTTCCGATTGTGGAAAACATAGCACGTTTCCATTTTATTAAAGAAGTGCAGGCGATGAAACTTAGAAGAATAATTATACACTTTTTGTGAAATTCAAATGTCATTTTCACACTGAATCACTATTGAAATAGCTCGTCCCATTGTAATTTACATAATACTAATTTCCCTAGAAATTTAGCTTTTAATGTATTGACGAGTAGACATTGGATTTACTATCCATATTTGTAGTGTAGGTAATCCCATGAATATGAGCGACAATTTAGTTCTCTTCTATATACACTTTTTGTTAAAAATAACCATATTTACATCAGGAAGTTTGTATACAAAATTATTTTCTTTTCAATGTTATCTAGATATTCTAATTTCTACATCTAATTATTTTAATGATCCTTTCCATTCAAAATCAATGACAAAAATATACTTTATATAACAAAAGTATTTCAAAATTGCATATTATTAATTGATTGTCTGTTGTTTTTCGCCGATTCAGCGAAATTCAGCGGGAACTTGATTATAACATTTGCATACATATTGGAATTATAGGTAAGGCAATTCAATAAAAACTGTCCCTGTACTAAAATTTCTACAAAAAAGATAAACATAAAGCAACTTTTGTTATCATATTTTAAACTCAATAAATTAGTTTAATGTGTTAGAGAACAGAATGCGTAATTTATCCTTATATTTGTTTCAATAGTCGGCATACTTTTATAAAGCCTGCAATGTGGTTTTGGTATTGAGGTCATTGCCATCAACTATAAAAATAATCATTTTGATATTTCAAAAGTTAACATTATTTCAATAGTGGTTACAACCTATTGTTGGTATTGAAATGCACTCAACCACTATTGAAATACTTATTTCAATAGTGGTTGCAACCTTTGTTTGTTACTGAAATGTACTCTCAACCACTATTGAAATACTCATTTCAATAGTGGTCGTATTCAAATAGTGGTTGCAACCTATGCTTGTTATTGAAATGCACACTCAATTACTATTGAAATAATTATTTCAATAGTGGTCGTATTTCAATAGTGGTTGTAACCTATGTTTTTTTATTGAAATGCACACTCAACCACTATTAAAATAATTCCTAGTATTTCAGTTGTGATCATTATTTCAAAAGTGGTTGCAACATTGCATAATAAACATATAATTATGAAAAACAATGCATATCATAATTATCCTTTAAGATATTACATTTAACACATAATAGATCTAGAACGACAATAACTTTTTAAAAGTCTGTTTGATATCTACTGAATACTTTCTTTAAGCTTACATTTGAAAATCATGTATTAAGTGGATTTTACAATGATTCAGACGAAAAGATATTCGAATCTTATTATACTTTGATGAAAACTGAAATTGCTCATACATGTAGAATAAGAACTTTACTTTAAATCTACATTTTAAAAGTTATCGAAGCTTCTTTTTAATAGAAAAATAAATAAATCGTGTTTTAATAATTTATACAAGAGGTTAAGCAAAAACAAGCTGCGAATAGCGAGAATTGTCCTCTCTCATTACAGTACAGGAAAATTTGTGGATATAAATATGCTTTACGATCATATCTTTTATCTATCATTGATTAAATAAACTTCATGGTATGCGTTTGCTCCAATATTTAACCTAATTATTTTAAGAAATGATTCAAAGTGCAATTTGTACAGTTCCATTCCGATGCAGTATTACCTACATGCAAAAATTCAACTCCAAGTATAAACCAACAATGGAATATGGCATAGATAAGAATCCTATCCATTCTACAAGTGCACATATCACCTAAGAAGTTTTATTTGTAACTTACAACATTAAATAAATGACGTCGTAGAAACTTCATAATGTTAAAATTGAGAGTTAGCTACTTTATAATTTCTTTATTAAGGCTAAGAGATAAAGAGGATATTGCTACATAAAGATTTTTTTTTGTTATCTTAAAGCAACGTTTTGTAACATTTTTACAAAGCAAATCTTGGAGGATATTAAAGCATGCATTACACCATATCAATTCTCATGTATGCAAGAACATGAATCCTGCTTAGATGTGTACAAATGTACTTGGTATTTTTTTCTGAATTCTAATAGAAACTAATTAAGCGACTCATTAATTTTTTTTATAAGCAGTATTTGATTGACGACATTTAGAGTAATTATGCATATACGAGCACCTCTTCATCCTTTAAAATACTGAAGCCAAGACTCTGGATTCGAAAACGCTAATGCGTTTACAGAAAGGCGATCTACAAGAATAATGACCTGCATAAAACCAAGCGCTTTAAATATCTGTTATCGTTGTTTTATCTTCATTTGATATAAATATATTTTAATTAGATAAATGTACACGTACAAATGGAAGAAGGTACAGTTTGGTCTTTAATGTGCCCCTAAAAATATGTTTTCAAAAAGTGGGTCATATATGAACTGAGTATATGAATTTGATAAATAATGAAAAAATATTACTTAAAGGAGGACTGTTTTGGAAATATGGTGCTTTAAACTTTGTACATTTTAATTTTTCACAAAAAACTTCAGAATGACTCATTTTAGGGGTATACAGTATCTGAAGCCGTCACCCACTTCACTTTTCCAATGTTGTACAAAATCCATTCAGAGAAATCACATTTTTCAAAATCTTTGTGGGCGATACATATGCTTTTTCATCTGAAAGCAAATTCCACTGAAAATTGATGTCTTCCATTACTTTTAAGAATTAATGTACAAGTTCATGACGTCACGATTACCATCTTGGAGATCCTATGAAAAAAGTGCAGTAAAACTCGTTTAGTTCGAACACGGATATTGCGAATTCATGGATATAGCGACGTCACTATGGATCCCCAACTCTATAAATTCAATGAATTTCTTATACGAAATCAATATAACAAATAACGGATATAGAGAAGTACTTTCTTAGGTCCAAGTGACTTCGTTATAACCGAGTTTTACTGTAATTTGTATATTCATACTGCAAGGACTTGCTTTGATTCAGAAAGGACGAATTTTTTTTTATTCCTTACATCACTTCATTATTTAAAAAGAAAAAATCAGGGCCAGATTTGAAACTGTACCTAGGTCTAATATAATCTAATAAAATCTAATATGATCTAATATAAATGTACCTAATAAACTTAGGATTATCAAATACATTAATGACCTATCTAACCATACACCTCTCAATTAGAAAATCAAAACCCCTTATGTAGCATACCTTATGCATTGTTCAGAATGAAAACACTTACAAGAGTAATTATTCATCATGAGGTAATTCTCCTGTTCCATTGGTCATAATAAATGATATTACATCCACGTACAAGGAAGCGTGTAATCGTGTACATTAAATTGTGTTTATGTTAAGAAACATATTTAAAAGCATTTAAAACTCTTAACATCATTATTCAACGGCAACTTGAGGATTGTCCATGAGAAACACTGGGGCGAGAATAACAGTGAAGGTATTAAGTGTCGACAGATAGCTAAAGGGATCTGTAATTTAATAACTCAAACGACAGAATCACTGAACAGAAAAACTGAATGAGTATGTATTTTTCAAAACATTTATTATAATCTTCTACTTACTTTCATTAAATTAAAAAAAGAAACGGGGATGCTGTAGTTTCAGAATGATGAATTGAATACTTTCCCAGACCTCATTACTGGAAATTCGCAGTAAATTGATACAAAAATGTTTTAGATAATTTAACTGGAAAACTGACCAGTCAGCAAGGGCCCCGCGATGGGGTAGAATTATAAGGATGCAGCTTACGGAAAGATTAAAAAATATATGAAGAATAATTGAGCAACAGCAACTGTATTTCAAGATACCGTATAGTGGGTTATTTTAGCGGGGTGCTAATTTTTGCTTATTTTGGCGTTTTGATGATAGTCCGCTTTGTGTCTATCTACAAAGAGCTGAGACCGTGCGTCCGCTAAAATAAATTACTCCGAAATTATTTGCATATCTTTGAGCGAGCAAAAGGCCAAATTTTACAACCTGCCAAAAACACCCGCTGTACGGTAATTCCTGAATATCCAAAAACCTGTAAATAATATCCTAGTACTTACATTAGGCAGTAAAGAACAACTCAACATTGAATGTATATTTAAACAATAATGAAGCTTGTGTAATGTAAAATGCCAGCCTTCAATGAATGAGAATATCATGAAGGCTTGACCTTAACTTAAAAAAAAACAGCAGTTGCAGACAAAGGTTTTCATTAATCTTAAAGTGACAGATAAAGATAAGTCTACTAAATTTCCTGCAGCAGGCTAGATAATTAATCTCAAGGGATTAATTGCACTTCTCTTTCATCTTTTTCTTCTAAATTTAAAATAAGAACTTTTTCAGTAACCCTCCTACAGTTTTGGTCTGATTCAATACAACAAAGTTATGGATCATTAAGGTCTTCCGTCTTCACGGAAGACCTTATAGTGATTCTATTGTTTCTTATTAAGGTCTTACGTCTTCACGGAAGACCTTACAGTGATTCTACTGTTTCTTATTATTCTTATTATTATTATTATTTTTTTTTTTTTTGACAAAATTTTGTGCAGGCGATTTCTCGAAAACTATTCAGCGCTTTCTCATGAAACTTTCACAAAATATGTGTCATTATATGAAGTTGTTACATCCAAAGAGAAATTTGGAAAATTCGCTTCTGGTGCCAAGTTATGGACAATTTCCTGATTTTAAAATGCGATTTTGTCGCGCACTTTTATCGAAAATGGCTAAGTATATGATATGGAGACTTATTGGAGATGATAGATCATGACTTTCTGGTTTGCAGAATCGCCTTTTCGTGCGTCGTCAGTACTTCCGGTCGTAACGATATGCAAATTTAAAATAATCGTATTTTCTAACTTTTTTGTTTTTCAGTATTTTTCATTTATTTTTGGTATGTATATAGAGACCCTTCTTATAATGCTTACTATTTAATTTGTTTGAATGTTGATAAATCTAAAATCTAGATATAAGCATTCAAAAATCTGAAGCGGGTCCAATATGGCGGCTGTCTCTGTCAACGCCGACATTTCGCAATAGTGGTTTACGGATGCAGCCGAGCGTTTGCTTTAACGAAAGTAACATAAGAATAAATGAAATGTAAAGGAATACTTGGATTGTCACGTCGTAGTTTCGTTACAGTTCTGTGTCAAACTAACGTCTTCTGTAAATAGTTTTGGCTGGTTTTCAAAGTAGAAAAAGAAAAGACTAAATGTGCTAATGAAATTCGATACCTAATATCTTTTGTGCATCACGGAAAAACAGATCTTAAATCATACTTATGAGTAATACTTTCTCAAAAAAGAATATCAATTAATATTGTCAGTATTAATCGTAACCACTGTTTTTCCTATGCACACTTGTGTCATATTAAACTAATAAAGAAGACAAAAATAAGAAAAAGATTTTTTTTAAAGATCGCTTCATGGAGTTTATTTAAGCATTCTTGTCTCAAAGACGCTGATTCAAGTTACAGAGCATAAAAGATATCTGATTCTTTGACCATCGAAGGGCGAGCCATGTTTTCGCGCGAAACGTTTCAACCTTTTTCGATTAACTAATCGGGATAGTTCACTTTGGGGATAAACAGGAAATTGAAAAAAATTCAAACCGTTTCACCGCTTTAGTGTTACATGCATACATACAATATGGAATTAACATACTTTCTAAATCTCGAATCTTAGGCTACAAGAACGTTCTTTTTTTTAATTTCATTGAAGCTATCACACCTATTTAATAGAACATTCTAAAGAAAAAGCGCGAAGACTAACTCGTGGCGTTTGGCGCTAAATTTTGAATAGTGACCTGCCTTTCATAATTTTAAGAGAGAAGCATATTCGTTAATATATACAAGTAGATTTAGAGTAGAGGTCCCGATAGCGTAATATTTAGTGAGTTGGAATTTCATGCTAACGACTTGGGTTCAATCCCCCTTGTGTGCAAATCTTTTTTTTTTTTTTTACTTTTTCAGCTCGATTTAACGTCTTCTTTTCGGAATCGGACGGAAGACCTCTCGTTGCTCGCAACGAGTTTCTCATCTAGTTATTATTATTATTATTCTTTTTTTTTTTAGACAAAATTTTGTGCAGGCGATTTCTCGTAAACTATTCGGTGGAATTGATTGAAAATTTCAGGAATAATAGGTCACTATATGAATTTTATATAAAATTCCGTTTGTTGGAAAATTCGCTACCAGTGCCAAGTTATGGGCAATTTCCTGATTTTAAAATGCAATTTTGTCTTCGAATGTTCTCGAAAACGGCTCAAGATATTAACTGGAGACTTGTAAGGGATGATAGACCATGAGTTATAGATGTGCAATTTTGCCTTCGTTTGTGTCGTCAGTACTTCCGGTCGCTACAGGAAGTGAATTCAAAATGTGCAGTTTTTCAACTTTTTTTGTTTTTCAATATTTTTCTTTGATATAATTAATGTTAATGGAGATCGTACTGGAAAGGCCTAATATATAATTTATTTTAGAATTGATCAATCCACACACTAGATATTCGCATTTAAAAATCTGAAGCGTGTCCAAGATGGCGGGGCGTCTCCGTGAACTCCGCCATTAAGCAAGTCGGGTTCTAGAAGGTCAGCTGAGCGTTTAGATGAACGAAACTTCTACCAAAAATATTTATGAAACGTAAAGGATTCTTTGTATTGCCACGTTGCAATTACGTTGCATTGAGTATAGTTTTAATATCAGGTTTCCTCAAACGTTTATTGAAATTGCTTTTGTTTGTATCTCAAAGTAGAATACAACATGACTACAAGTGGAAATACGACGACTTCAACCTTTGGTTTTGCACCAGGGAAAACTTGTAAACAGGATACAAAATTCGTAGAAAATTTTACCGAATTCACTGCTTTAGTGTCATTTGGCCGTATACGATATTATATTTGTGATAAATATACTTTCTAACGCTTGAAATTCCGGTTATATGAACATACATTTCTAATTTTCATTGAAGTTATCTCATCCATTCAATAGATCAAACATTTCAAAGGAATAGCGTTAAAAACTACTTGTGACGTTTGGCAAGAAATAATGTATCGTTACCCGACTTAAGTAGTAGACAAATGGCGACAATAGTGCAGAAATATATAACATTGGCATGCCGGTATATGGAGTTGCATGGAAAAAAAAGTTGAATACATATCGAAAAAAGGAAAGAAAACAGTATCATCTGTTCATCAATAATAGAATATCTATCCTAAAAATTACTGTTAAAACTCAAGTAACAAATTCCGATGTGATCATCTTGAGCAAAGTTTAGCAAGCTGACTGTCATTTTACAATTCCAAACTGAATTTTTAAAAAAATGTAATGTATGTTGGAATCAAAGAGAAAACCAATCTCGCGATATTCGAATGTTAAATTTGAAGCGGATTCCCAAAGGTGTAATGGGTACCGCAATGGATTTTCACGCTGGCGACCCGGGTTCGACCCCCCTTGTATCCAATTTTCAAAATCACTTTTTTCAGTTTGATTTTACGTTTTTTTTTCTGAATCGGACGGAAGACCTCTCGTTGCTCGCAACGAGTTTCTTTTCTAGTTATTTTACTTATTACTATTGCAAATTTTCAAGACAAAATGCTACTTTTCTCTTCCTTTGTTATAAGTACAAACTAGTATAGGTTCAGTCTCGACAGAGACGTCTGATTTAAAATTAAATTCATCTTGCAATAGAATAACTGGGTCACATTCCCGAAATCAGACGGGTAAAAGAGTTTTAGAACCATTAAATTACAAAATTGTCATTTTAACAAAAATATTTTTCCTTGGGGTCTGAACTTGATTTATGGGATTAAATCAAGTACATGGCGGTTTCAGACCACAAGGTATAGGTTGCTTTAAAATTATGTAATCATTTACATCATTAATGGGAAAATTAATGGGAATTATAATAATTAATTAATATTCATTAAAATATTATTGGGGTAAATAATCAAATATTCATAATTGTATATCAAATTTTAATTAGGTTATGATTACATAACCATTTAATGAGATTTACATCATTTTATCATTTTATGTAATTAACATTTGGGTTATTAATAAAGTCACAGTGGTGGCAGAGTGCAACATAACTTATTGTTTCTGTGTCATGTATGAATATGTATAAGATGGAGGGCTCAGGAGGTTAACAATGGTAAATTACATGAACGGAGGAAATGCATACTAATGGAATATACATGGAAGCATGCTATATTGGAATGTTGGGATTCGAACATTGTCAATTATGGATAAAAATATTTTTAACTAGTTCCTGATAAAACTTTATAGATTTAATATATCACATATTTTTTCAGGAAATTAAGTTTTTCCTTGTGAAATTTCCGTTCGAGGACCATGAATTTAAAATATTATTTCTTTCCTGTTATCTACTTTACAAAATAAAACAAATAAGAAGGATGAATATTTTATTTATCCCCTTGATAACTGTCCTATGCTTTGGTAAAGGAAAAAAAAATGAGAAATCATTCTTAAATTTCAACTGGATTTTGTCATGTTATATTTATGCATATTTTTCAGATTATGGATTGACATCAAGTATTCACTTGGAAAAAAAGAAGGGTCAGTTTACCTCACCTGGATACCCCGGCAACTATCCGGACAATGCAATCTTCACCTGGATAATAAGAACCGGGTACACTGCAGCTAACGTGATATTCAGAATTCATGATATGAATATTATAAACACAAATCCTTGTGACGACTATCTCGAAGTGAATTTCCCCATTTATTGATTTTTTATCTTAAATTGAATACCTAGAATTAGGCATAATAAGGAAAGAAAATTGTAACAATTACGATTAAGTCTCCCCCTTCTCTGCAATTTTAATTTTTATGTGTTTTTATTAAAATACCATACCCAGTGTCTTTGCAGGTTAAAGAGGTCGAGCCATGCTGCTTTACCGTATTTAAAAGATGTGGTGAATTAAAGAACATGGCCTTTTACACGAGAGGGAATCAGATAAGAGTGTCGTTTATATCTGACAGAATTCTGAATGCAAAAGGATTTAATCTTTCTTGGACAGGTATAAAACTCTTTAGATACCTGGGGCCCGTTTCATCAAAAGTCGTAAATTTAAGCCTTAACTTAGGCGTACATCCGGAGCTTACGCCAAAATTTAGTCGGGTGTAATTTGCGTTTCACCTAGTGGCGTAAGTCTAGTCTTAAAAGATATGCTTAGTCACAGGACTAAGTCCTTGACAACGTTACATTGCGCAAGCGCAAAAACATAAACACTACCCAATGCGTACTTAAATTGTAGCACGTCAAAGTGCAGAATGACGCAAATTATAGATAAATGAATACTTGCACTATATAAAACATGCATGGATTTATAGTCATGTAGGAGACTGTGTATCTTATAAGAAATCTATTTAATTTTTTTTTTACAACATTTCAATAATAAAAAGTGTTATAAATTGAAAGGAATAAAAGGACCGTACATGTACATGTATTTCAGAATTAAGCTAAATTATTTATTTTGGAATTTTAATTACAGCCCCCCCCCTCCCTTTCCAGAAATTGATACAGGTTAATGACTTCGCCTTTGATAATAAATTTCATGATTCGATAAATACTGATTCTACTGATAAATACTAATAATTAAGTTTGATTTATTTATTTGTTTTCATAAGAAATGTATATGCAAGCAAAAATAATGAATAAAAAATGCAAACGGCTGACATATGTACATATTTTGAGTCAAGAAATAAATTTTACACTTTTCATGTAAAATAATCCTCTCTAAAGTTATTGAATTTTTGTCATTTCAAATGATTCATTATAATATTGTTATTGTTTATTAGAATGACACAAAGGTTCATAATATAATTACGAAATACTAGACTCTAGGTCGTGCAGTTATAGAAAAAAATGCTTTACTGTCTGCAGATTAAATGTAATGTTCCGTTTTATTATTAATAAAAGTACGCAGAGAGAGAGAGAGAGAGAGAGAGAGAGAGAGAGAGAGAGAGAGAGAGAGAGAGAGAGAGAGAGAGAGAGACAGTTACTACAAAGATATTCTTATAAAAATTCTTCTGCTTGTGTGGTCATTGTCTTTAAAATTAAGTTACACTGAGTTACTCTTTATTTTGTTTTCATTAAAAATGTAAGTTATGCGGGAAATCAAAAACGTATATTTTCATCTTATATGTGCTTTATATGCGCTCAGATTAACTTATACTATATAATATAAGTTTTACCCTAAGACAAAATCATGAAAATTAAAGATGTCAATGTTTGTCTGAGAAATTTGTTTTAGGAATAATTAATTGGCGTCGGAAGCAAATTGAAAGTGGAGGGGGCTAAGTGTAAAAAAAAAAAAAATTATACGTTCAAAAAAAAAAAAACCTGACAAGCAAACAAAAAGAAAAAAAAGAAAATGTCCTTTTCCCCAAAAAGAAAATCATATTTCGTGGGTGGGGTGGGGGGTGGGGGGGGAGGGGTTCTAACTTCAGTACCAAAATTTTTTGCCAAAACCACCACTTTTCCCATTTTTAACCTATACTGCGACGTGTCTGTGGAAAGTGGGGGGGGGGAGGCTAAACCTACGAAGCAATGTTCAATGTCTATACTAAGTATATATTTGGGAAAAAAAAAGTGGGGGGGGGCCCTTAGCCCCCATCCCCACCCCCTGGTTCCGACTTTTATGTAATTCATTCTTGAACTTAACTGTGTAATTATCACCGTCTTACATCGATATTGTAAACGCAATAACATATTACCCCATTTTAAAAATCTCTTATTGTTAATCAGATCCCCCTCCATGGGTTCCGTCTTAGATTCGACAGGAACTTCACTTGTCCCAGATTCCTAAAAAAATTAATTAATTTCGTCCTGATCTGAAACCTCTCTCCGACCCCCTCTAGATCCACGCATGTGGACGAGGAGTTAACAAGAAATGGACTCTTCAAACATGGTTAACAAATTATTCGGTTTTAAGATAGGTTATAATTTTAGAATTTTTTTCTTAAATGTAGAATATTACCAGAAAGAGGATTACTGTGCTGGGGAAATATTTTCTTTCAAAATCGACAATTTTAATGGGTCTCTTTTTAGTGAATGAAACCGAAAATAAAACTAGAGGTACCGTGAGCAATGAGTTCAATAAAAGGTAGCCCCCCCCCCCCCGCCTCCCATTTGATTATAATGGCAGTGTCCATGTTTTGCAATGGGAAACACAAAATATGTGTCGGATCAAAAAAGTACAATAAGGCACAATGGAAATATGTAATAAAGAATCTGTGAAAGTTTCATCAAATTTCAATCATTTGTATGAGAGGAGTTGCGAATACTCTGGTGTGGGTACCCCCAAGGCGTAACAGAAGGACGGACGGACATACTGATTGCTATATACACTGTAGTATATACCCTCCCACTTTTCAAGCAGGGTGTAGAAATATAGTTATATATGTATATATAGTTGATTTACAATAACTTATACATATAATACCACAGTCAAATGTGTATGAATGCGTTGTCAAAACGTAAGAAATGGTGATGAAAGAAATCTCTAATAGACAATATTTTCTTCTCAGCAGAAATTTATTTAAATATTAAGTACGTTATAACTCGAACCAACTACGTCCCCAAGCGGTTGTACCCCCTCTAACTTTTCATAGTATATATAATTAAATAATGCATTGTTTGTATTTTAAATTCTTCTAAGAACTGTACTTTTTCTTTAGAACTCGCTAAATTGTTTAAAAATCAATAAAAAGGCTTTATTTTAACTTTACGCCCAAACTTACGCCTACTATGAGTAGACGTAAAATTTTGGCCTATATTTAGTCAGGCGTAACGATACGCTCTTTAATGAAATGCAAATCTTCGTGCTAATCCCGACTTTACGCCGGCGTAGCGCTACGACTGGGTGTACGACCTTTGATGAAACGGGCCCAAGGTTTGTGTATATGTAGCTGCATTGACTTTTTTGTCCGTCACATTTCATTTATTTTAGTCGCTTCACCACAAACACCACAACCAAAAGTTACCAAGATTAGGACAACAACCCTTTCAAAGACATCAATTAAAATATATCCATCTAAATCAACAACAAAATTGACAACCACTCCTGCATCAAGAACTGCATCAACAGCACAAAAAATAACAACCATTTCTACAACACCAACCAAAACATTTTTGACATTTCAAACGGAAGCTGAAATGTCAACATATGGTTTGACAACAATACGGCCAACTCTGTCATCTAGATATTTGTCAATACTATTTATGTTCCGAAGATCAAAATTGACAGGTAAGAAAGTTACAATGTAGCATTAAAGATCTCAGGAAAAATCCGCACCAATTGTGTAAAAATGAATATATCATAAGAAGCTAGATATTGTATATTCAATTTGGATTTATTTACCTTCTATTAAGATTTAAAAATAACTAAACGCGTCATATATAGAAAATGTTCAGTAACTACAGTAAGAATGGAAAATAGTCGTTTAGATTTTCAAGAAGCAAAGCAAATAAATTAGAGACATATTATTTAAAATCTCAAAGAGAAAAAAATTCTCCCAACCATTTCTGTCATTAGCGAGGAAAGAGTAAAAGCTTGAAAATAGTTTTAAAAAATTATAAATATCTTATTCCTATTTCCCTGAATTTCAACTAGAAGTCAGTCAAACCCCATTCTATGATTTTTTATCTGCGGCATGGTACATTTTAGAAATAAAACTTATTAGTTTGTACTTTCTTATTTATCATTTAAAATATATGGTTTGTTTCATTGTTATTAAGAATAGTGTAATCGATGAAATTTCGAATAATAATTACACACTATTTTGGGGAAAATATAATTACGTGTTTTACAGACGAACCATTAAAATCCTATGCATAATTAACAGACAATTATAAAATCAATACACATCGTTTCCTGATAGATATTACGAACATATAACACAACCTGTGATAGACCTATGATGTATAATCAATTGTATTTTACTTTTTAGCATTCAATTGAAGTTTTATTTGTTACTTTGCATTTTATAAAAAAAAAATAGTTGCTTGTTTTTCACATTATCTCAGTTGTGTGATTTCATTAACAGTTATGAGACAGTCTTGAATGCCTTCATTTAACTTTAACATTATACGATATGGTTTCCATGTTATGTTGTACATGTACATGAATTCAAATGAAGTTCCTGGATCAGATGATTTATAATCTACAGAATTGGAGGAAGATTTCCACTTTCAATAGTCAGAAATAATAAATATAAGACGATAATAACATTTTAAAAATCTTTTTGATTTTTCTAATTTCTTTTGAAAAGCTTGGATTTGGAAATCTTGTTTTCAGTGGATTTTAATTCATTTAGGACAAACAGGTTTTCTAGTATGACTTAACTTTCATAAAGACTTAAAATGACGGAAACATTGGAACATTGCTTTAATTCTACATTTTAGAAGTTAAAGAGAAAAAGCTATTTTGGGCCTTTTTTTGGCCCTGAGAATTTCTGAGAAATCAAAACCGCTGAGTTTAGGTTGCAAATGCAGTATTTATCACTTGGACTGTTGGTGACCACGTATCTATTAATCGTGACGTAATTTTCCATCTCGTCAATGCATTCTGAGGTCATAAAATGCGTCCTTTTCCTCATATCCTGTAAATTCCTCTGAAAAAGACCAAAAGTTGAAGCATTTTTTCAATATTTCATATAGAGCACAATTTAACCTCTGATCCAAAATATGCAAGTACATAATGAAAGCTCTGTTTCTGAAGATTAAAAAAATGTTTTATTTTTTGGATCGTGGGCTGTTCTCATATTTTAATTCTTTGCTGAAGGTAGTCAAATATGCATGTTTTCAGCAAATTTCAAGAACATTGCAATTTCTCACCTGTTTTCCAATCTGGATTCTCAAAACGAAATTTTATTATAGTAAATGAAAGCACCAAGTGTCTATTTTATTTTGATATATGAAATGGGAAAGAGGGTGATTGTTAATTGATTGATATAAGTACAGGGAAATTTTATGCATAAGATGGCTCTTGCTCTTTAGCTTCTTTTCATTAAAAAATGCTTTACAATCATTTCTCTTTTTTCTCTCTTTGATTAAATTAACTTAATGTTTTGTGTATGGACAAATATTGGACATATTAGAACACATTATCTCAGATGTTATTATATAAAATAACTCTTAATTTGTTGATAGGATTATTTGAAGTTGGTCGCGGTGACATATGACAAATTTGGGAGCAGCCGCCGGGTCGTCTCCCAAACAATCAACAACAAATGTAGCGACCCCAAATGGGCTAAATATTGTGCAATGGGTAAATTTCGCGAATGCACAACGCCACGCAAAATGGATACAATGAGCCAATATCCCATTTAAATAGTATCCATGTCAAATGAATGGGCCAATATCCCATCAAAAATTTTATAATATCAAATCAATACAAAATGATACAATGGACCAATATCCCATCAACAATGTAAGCAATGTGAAATACAATATCGTTCAATGGGCCAATATCCCATCAACATATCCAGGTAATAAAAATTTTGAAATTGGATTTATCAGTGTTTAAAATCAAAGTAAATGTGCAAATAGCGCCACGCAGCACAGTTAAGGTTACAAATGGAAATATCGGCGATTTTTTTAAGATAAAAAATACATACTTTATTAGGATGGGCGATTATTTTTAGAACTTCGCTGATATAAAAAAAAATGTAATGTGGTTTCAATCAACATGTTGGGGACATTTAGATTTTTTATTTAGACTTGTTACGTGATGTCGACGTCACATGAGTTTAGCAATTATACTGGCAGTTTAGAGGACATCTATAAATTCCAATATTGCAAGGGCATAACCAAGTTAAAAATCTTAGTTTAATTTGTAATCCTTTTCAACACTATACGAGGGCTGTTCAATGAAAAATGTCCTTAGTGCTCGGAAAGCAACTAAAAGCTCTTTTCAAGGATTTAGCCTTAATGCTTTTACTTGAATATTTTCTTTTTATTGAAACACATGTCCGTAACATTCTTATTCAATTTCTGATTTTTAAAACACGTTTTTGAGTATTGCCCTTCGTATACTGGAATATGGCAGATCCTATGATTCCTTGACTTGTTTCTTCTTTCTGAATCAATGGTGTTTTTTTTTCAAGTTTGGAAATTGAAACAAGTGAAAGGATGAAAGAACTGGCGAATATTGTTGGTTTGACAAAACATTAACTGTCTGTTTATCCCCAAAACTTCTTTACTCTTCACGGCCTGTGGGTTTGGACGCCGTCATGACGAAAGTTAAAGTAGTGGATTCTTGATTCTGGTTCCATCCTCTCATAATCCTTTCGATTTTTTTGCAAAAAATTGCTTTCTAGACTTCTCCAGATATTGAACTGCCTCCCCGAATAAGAATTTGAACGACAAGACTACTAATATTTAAGAAAATGACATTTAAAACTATTTTTGTGTTTTTAAAATTCGTTGCTTTTTTGAGACCTTGGTTGTTTTTGTCAAGTGCATTTTATTGTAAATTTGTTTTGAGGGTTTTGAGGCAATGAAATCAATTTCATTTTCTATTTGAAGTTCAGACAAAGGTGGATAACTTCAATTTTGATTTTTTAAAAATACTTGTTTATATATTCTTACACGCTGTTGTTTTCACTCATTTTTCAAGAAATAGGGTGACCATAGGGTACTAAGATTTTTTACTTTCAAATGTTTCGTTAAAATGTTGTAAACTACCCCCAAATTGAGGCCTATTAATTTTGCTATGTGTCTTAAATTAAATCAAATATCATCAGTGATTATTTGTTGAATTTTCGCAGACATTACATTGGTTGTTGTAAGTATTTGTCGCCATGGACGGTACCCATTTTTGATACCAATTATATCATTTTTGTTCATTGAAATCCACCCATTTATGTGTTTATAAAACATACATTAGTTGCTGTAAATTTCACGTATTAGAGAAAATAGTTCTTTGGAATTCTTAACGAGTTTTACAGCAGCTTTGATGAAGCGTTTAATTTCACTATAGTTTACCATTCATTTTTAATGCAGTGTCTCGAATAGCCATTGTTTTCCAGCTTCTCACAATGAAACTACGTGATGAAAAGTGGTCACATAAACTGTAATCAATTCATGAAAGATTCTTTCATGAGAGAAAGTCAAGCTTAATGTCATATAATTTCTATATTGTATGTCATAGAGCTCAGGACATTATTTATCGAACAGCCCTCGTATGTTGTTTGTGAAAAGTGCTGCAAACCTACATAGATTCCCTTTTTAATTGCTAAAAATTAAATTGTTGGACGACAGGTTGAATATATTGCTGCTCAACTACATTAAATATAGCTATGATTAATTTATTTGCAAGAATTCATGAGGTTCGCAGCACTTTTCAAATATCTTATGCTTCTTGAGTTTATTGATAAAAACTTGGCAAGATTCATCGAGGGTATGCCCTTGCAATAAATCGATTTATACGGGCCCTTCAATTACTTTTCATTGATTCTGCATAAAAAGACACGACAGTATCACTTGTCTGGAGAATGTACGGACAGTTTATGAATAAAATACTAAAATAAACATCGCATCCAAGCTAATGGCCTTTTATTTAATTGCAAACGATATTTTATTTGAGAACAAAAGACATTTTTCATTGTACAATTATGACTTGATCAGCCTCCTCACTGTGTACAAACTGAGTCACTTTTGCATGATGACGTCACATTGACAAGTGCATTGCGATCGATGCATCGATTATATACGGTTGTGAAGGATTTAACAAACGACAAAACTGCATGTAATAGTAGGTTTGTATGTGGTATATAGCTGTCCAGCTATCTGAAATAGCAAAAAATACCATTTCGTGGTATTTTGAAGACCTTATATTGTGTGTGACATCATAATAAACATTTCCCGTACAAATGAGGCCCCACCTCCTTACTTTAACCTTAACTGTGCTGCGCACAAGATGTCATACGAGTTAACAACAGCACTCGTTCAAGTGAGGTGGGGTTGACGATAATGCACTAACATCATCTTCAGGGCACAATCCTGTTAGAAAGATATCTGTAGACGGATGACCACTGTGTTGCGTGCGTCTAGACGTTTCCTGAAATATATAATGCAAAGACACGGCAGTATCATGATTATAAAAACACACTTATAATTTTCAACAGTGAACTGCATAAGAATGCGGTGGGTGGGTGGGTTTTTTAAAGATATCAATCCAAAACTAAAATTTTTCTATCACCTGAACCAACCTACCCATGTGCTCGTCTGCTGTCTTAGAAAGGAGGAAATTACGTCTCGTACCATGTATATATAGTCTCTGTGGTGTTTCTAAAAAAAAACCTCTGGTATTCGCAATCCGG